TAATAGCACTTACCAAAGATAGTCTTCATATAGACATTTCATGTACATATATTAATTGTGTTGTTCTGGTTTTTAGAAGGGGTTCTGACCTCGTGACTTATGAACTATTTTGGTTTTCATCATGAGGCATCATAACGCTTCTAAATGAAGACCTTTTGACTCTCAAGTTAGATTTCGAATGATTGTTACTGGTTGGTTTTTTTTTACCAAGGTCGTTTTTATAGGATGGGATCGCTAATCCTATGATCAACCCTTTAGGACCGGGAGTAACCCTAGAATAGCTTTAGGTGTATTTTGACGAGAAACTAACGACGTAAAAAGGATTCGTGTTATTCTACTTAAAATTTTGTCCTTGCTCTCTTTAGGCTAGTATAAGGAACTATGTATATGAGTGTTTAATTTTTTTCCATTTCTTTCTTTGCTTGTTGATCACATAAAAGGTTCCGGGAAATCTTTAATACTTCAAGAGTTACACGATCATGGTGAAACCGTTTTCGATTTAGAAGCTTTGGCTAAACATAAAGGTTCAATGTTTGGTGGTGATAGTGTATTATCAAATAGTGACACTAGCGATCATCAAAGCTCTACCAATAAAGGTAGTCAACAAAAGTTTTTTGAATCTCAACTTCATCATGTAATGATGACAAATAAGCATCGATTGTCATCCTGCAAAAATATTTTATGGATCGAATGCGAATCACGGCATATTGGACCAGTTTGTGGGTTATCTGATGGTTTATGGTCACGATTAAGATCTACAGATCCAAATGTTGGCGCCCATCGATTATGGATTGATATTACAGAAGAAGCAAGAGTTGCTTGGATTTTAGAAAATTATTCTACTGTTACTCGGAATGTTCCAAAAGTTCTAGCTATTCTCAAAAGGTGAGTATTGAGTGTATTGTGTGGAGTAAAAATTAATTCAAGTTTTCTTATTGACGATCTGCAATCATTAAACATCTCATCATAGTACATGTAATGTTGAGTTACTTGGACTACCAGACAGACATTTTTGATAAAATATATTTAGCAATAAAAGGTAAACGAGAAATTCTTCACTACTTAATGATCCATCGGTTGTAACACGAATAATCCAACCTATCGTCATAAGTTACATTTTTTTCATCAACTTTGTTTTTGCTTTCGGTTTTTTTTTATAGATTAACTCAATTGGATAGCCCGAACATAGTTCTATTATGTGTAGGATAGAAGACGATAATCAGTGGTGAAAGTTATTCAGTTAAGTACAACTATTGATTACTGGGCAGTGGCTAGTATCATATTTGTATAGTCCTCAGTGTTAGTCAAATTTTATTGAACAATTTGCAATCTGGTCTGGTCTAAATGATTTAAAATTGCCTGGCCTATTTTTTTATGGTAGGTATGTAGATAGATGACTGGAAGTAGTTGGTAAATATTTGTCATGCAGAATATCGGCATCCGCAAAACATCTGAGTGGTAACGTTTCAGACTGCGAGGCTGAACAACTCAGATGGGGATCCGGTAGTGAACAGTAATGCACTCAGGATCGCAATTGCACCTTGCTGACTAGTGTCATCTAGCTTATACTTTTCGATACCTGAGTATAAATTTTGTTTTTTGACGTTAAGTTAAGATTCGACTCTGTAGACTGTGGCAGTGTCTATCATTTGAAAGCATACCAAAGACGTACATCAACCTTGTACAGGCACTTTACTTGAACACTGGTGGTTGAGTTAAAGCTTATGTCCAACTCGTCAGAATTTTCAACCTCAAGTGGTGTTCGTCAGGGTTGTCTGCTTTCTCCATTTTTACTTAACTTTGTCATAGATATACTTTTAAAAATAATACATTCATCGTCTGACTTTTCAAGGATTGATCTCCCACCAAGATATTCTCTTGTTTTCTTAGTATACGCAGATGATATAGTTCTGTTTGGTGAAGGCACTGACAAAATTGATAATATTCTGAGCATTTTAAAGAATAATGCAAGCATGTTTGGGATGTGTTTCTCTTTCTAAATGAAAAAGTGTTGCTTCGGCACTGGTCTGCATCAGCATCCAATCAATGACAAGTACGAAGTAGTTGAGTGCGTGTATTGCTACTCTTATCTTAGGAGTCTCATCAATTCTGATTGGCTGTTGTCTAATGAAATCTCAACATGTATTCGAGAAGTTCGATCGACTTTTGCCAATTTGCATCACTTGTGATGTAAGCGAGATATCCATCTTCCAACCGAAGGACGAGTTTACCACGCTGCAGTTCGCTTCATCCTTTTTTTATGAATGTGAAACATGCCCATTAAGTGTAAGGGATATTCGTAGGTCACTAAGATTCTATTATAGGTGTCTTCGAAGCATTGTTCACGTATTTTGGATCCATTTAGTACGCGATCATTGGGTTAGGAATAAGGTACTAAATAAGGATGGCTAATCGATTGATGAGTTAGTAAATCTTCACGAACTGAGGTGATTAAAACATTTGATACATATGCTCGACCAGTGCATTCCTCGACGGTCGATTTCGTCTGATTTAGGAGTAATCTGGGAGATAGCTAGAAGAGACCAAACCAAGCCGTGGGGCCAATCCATAAAGTCATTGACAGTCGAACTGGGTTTAGATTGTCTGATTGAAGTCCATGTGATTATCGTAATCAGTGGTTAGAGACTTTGAATGACGTCGTGTAAATTGTTTGTAATGGTTCAAGCGCATCCACTTTTTGTCTTTTCGCAAATTTTGACTTCATAAATCCCTCACATATTTCTCGTTTCACTAATTTATATTTTCTCAGATGGTATCTTCGATGTCCAATCTTTCGTATTACCAGTGTCACTATTACTATGTCTGCTATCGGATGATTTGACCTGAAAATTTCATCTTGGTGTGCTACTGGGTTATGGCAACTTGAACCGATGTACATATATAACAGGTTCTACTTTGAACAGACCGACTGACTTTTGTTTATAAAGTCCAATGTTCCATCACATACATACCTTTCCATCTTCTCTTTTCAAATCACATCCTCGATCACCAGTCTTCGTTATCAATGTTTTGTACAACATTATATCTGCCTTTCTTGTCGCTAATTTTTATCTCGTTTTGCTAATGTGGTATGTTTCGATGCACGTCTATGTCAGGCTTATATTGTTGATGATTCGCATAGTATAATTCTAGGACAATATCTCGTCATACTTTGAATCTACAGGGCTTGTAATATTCCGCTCTTTATATACTTTCATCTTTTCTTCGTTGGATTACATTAATGGCTTTAGTTGCCTCATAATTACCTAGTCGTTGTAATTAGGTGGAAAAAGAGAAACTTTTTATAAAATTGTATTTGTCTTATTTATGCTTGACTTCATTTAGTTTCTCTTTTTATTATAAATAGTTTAAATGAATATATACCAGATAAATTGATTAATCAGTGGACTGAAATGGTACATCGTGAAGATTTCACCAGTTTTGTAACCGGTTTACTTCGACATCATTATGATCCATTGTATTTAAAAAATCGTCGTCATATAATCGAAGATGCTAAAAAGAATGGTTTATTCCATCGTATCTCTCTTCATAGTGTTGACAGAACAACTATACAAACAAAAATTATACCACAGATATTGGATTTAGCATATACTACAAGTTTTTCTGATGTACAACAAAATCAGTTACCTAAAAGTCATATGGCTATTTAAACTTTTGCATTTTTCTTTTGTATCTTTATTCATATGAAACATATTTCATGTCTTGTTTATAACTAATATTAACACAGAATTGAGTAGCTTCAGTATTTTTTGATATGGTTTATATCATTCTATTTAACTGTATATAATGGAAATACAAAATGTACACTTGCATGTATAGAACATTACCATAGTTATTCATAATGAGTTAGTTTATGCACAAAATGCAGTTAGAATCTTTTTTTTTGGGGGGGGGTATCTTTATTTGTAAGGATTAAATCAAATATAAGTTCTGGACAGAAATTCAGTTTTCATTTTTTTATTGTTGTTGCATGTCTAGGTATGTGTCTGTTACAGATTTGTTTGAATTATGCTATTTATAATTAAAGTTAGTTGAGACGTTTGAAAAGAACTAAATGTAAAGATGTATACATTCGTAGACTGCCCTGGTACATCCGAGAGTGAGGAGAGTTCGCTCTCCCTCTCGAAATGCTCTCACATGGCCACGCGTATATAGCCTCTGCCAGGGAAGTCCTACTCACTGCCTTCCCGTGGCGGGGGTGTTGTTTACAAAAATGAGAGGACGAAAAGCGAATGTCCGGCGCTTTAACCGGATTCCAAACCAATGGTGCACATGGGCTCCAGTATCCTGTGGGAATAAATGGCGTATGAACTAATTGTTGGTCACCGGCTTCCATGGGACTGCATCTCCTCACGATGCTCCACTGCCTTGTGGATCAGACCTTCAGGTCGAAGGCTCGGGGTGTGGCCCCCTAAGAAAACCACCTGCTTCGGTTTGCGCACCCGAGCAGTATCACAGCCCTCACACATATCAAATGAGATTTGTGTGGCGTATATGTATTTGGTGCCTCCTTGTACCAACATCTATGTGTTAAAATAATAAAAATAAATAATAAGACTCCTCCACAGGGTGTATTCATGATCCGGAATGGGGGGCTCAAACCCAGCTTCGGTTTGGGCACTCGGGCAGTATTTCAGCCCTCACACATATCAAATGAGATTTGTGTGGAGCATATGTATATGGTGCCACCTTGTACCAATATCTATGTGTTCAAATATATTGATAATAATAAATACCCAGGACCTTCGCACACTGCTAAGGAGTCCCATACTAGGATGAAGCGGTTGTCCAGTGCTTCCAGGTTTTCAAAAGTGATCTAACCTAAATCGATTCATGAATTTAACTATTAAATTAATACAATCTTCACAAACCCCCATTCTGAAAATAATGTTTTATTACTTCTGAATACTAATGACACTGTAGTTTGCTCTGAGCGAACTATTAACGATTTTATTGCACATATGGTTTTCTCTCTATTAGATGGTTAGCCAGGAATCAGTCTACCAAAACACAACTCAAATCAAAACACGTAATTAGCCTGTTTACTACGTGTGACAATAGATAACTGAGTAAGTAAAAAGATTAGGAGAATGTCTATGATACTCCATATACCTGTCATATTATCTACCGGTCTACCTGGATCACTGTCTACTTTTGCCTTACGCCGTTTACTCCTCGTGGAGGAGCATAAACCATCCCCTAGCATTCTCAGTCGATCTCTGTTCTAAGTAATCCTTTCCAGTTTCTATTCATTTTTTTTCATATCTTCTTCCACTTCCCAACGCAATATGTTTTTTGGTCTTCCCCTTTTCCCTCCACCTAGGATTCCAAGTTGGGGTATGACTCGTAATGTAGTTTGATAAGTCCCGTAATGTATTTTCTATCCACCTCGAACGTTTTTTTTCTAATTTCCTCTTCATTTGGAAGCTGGTTTGTTCTCTTCCGCAGTAGGCTGTTGCTGATGATATCCGGTCAACGGACATTGAGTATCTTGTTTAGATAATTGTTTATAAATACTTCTACTTTTTTGATGAAGTTTGTGATAGTTCTCGAAGTTTCAGTTCCATACAGTAGAACTGTCTTGACATCCGCATTGAAGATTCTAACTTGAATGTTGGTTGAAAGTTGTTTTGAGTTCCATATGTTCTTCAATAGTAGGAATGCTGTCCTTTCTTTGTTAATCCTTGCCTTTACATCTACATCGCATCCTCTTATTTTATCGATGATCCTGCTGAGGTATGTAAAACTTTCCATCTCTACCTAAGCTTTTTCGTCAGGTGTGATTGCGTTAGTGTTCCCTGCATTGTATTTAAGCATCTTAATTCCCCCCTGTTGTACTTTTAAGGCTTTTGTAGGCTTGAAGCCTGGGTTAAGGAGGAGGGTTGGGCATGGAGTCAGCGACCCCCTTCCCACAGGAAACAACCTTGTTGGAAAAAGATAACTTGAAAAAAATTAAATCATACTTCTGTCTACACAACAATGTATGTGGCCCTTGGTCTTTTTGTTATTGTCAATCTCACTTTCTAGTAATTATCTGGCCAGATTGTACCTAATAACATAGAAACACGTTCCACTGCATTTGTATCCGGACTATGACTGAATGACAGTTTACCAGCTCTCAGTTTTTGGGAGACATTCGAAAGTGAAATATAGGCTAATATGGATAGATTTTAAGTGGTTAGATAAAAAAAGCCTTGTTTTAAAATAGAATCAAAGGTTAGTGTTAAGACTTTTATTGCAAACTGACATCGCCTACAGTTCAAGAATCCTAATCTTGCATCCTACCATAATTAATTATTTATTTGTCTCTACTGTCTCCTGATTGACTGAAAGTGGTAAGATCTCAAGGTCTTTCTGTGATATAGTACAGCTTTATCTAACATTACGTTTTCCACAGGATGTCTTGATTCCGTTATCTTGCCAATTGTTGAGTTTGTAAAATATCCATTTTTGAAAAGCTTATGCTGTGATGTTTTTATTATTAGAGCTGTTTACTATCGGCCAATATATTCTTTATATCAGCAATGATTAAGTCGTATATATGTCTAACATTTTAATCTGGTGGTTGTAGGTCAGTATTGATACAATGGATAAACTATATACCATACTCTTATGAATTTTCTTCCATTATCCCAACTATATTCGATAGCCCAGTTAGTGGATATACTCAACATTTGATTAAAGCATTGATTGCATTCTCTCCCGAATCCCTTAATTTATTTTTACATTAGAACACTAGAAAAAGATCATTTAATTTAATCAAACTTCAAAAATCATCTGATTATACACAAAAAAGGAAGACTTAATTACTAACATGTACATAACTAGGGTTACTTATGGTACACAACTGAACAACATGTTTATAATTAATTACCAGTACTTAATAAACAGAAAATTACATGCTATCAATTATTGAGTGAAATAATAGATTACAATTTCTGATCAGCCCTAATGGGTTGGTGTCTGACGAAATCTCAGCACGGATTCGAAAAACTCGCTTGGCTTTTGCCAACTTACGTCACCTATGGCGAAGTCGAGATATCCGTCTATCAATTAAGGGACGAGTATACTGCGCGGTAGTCCGTTCTGTTTTAACTTACGGCAGCGAAACATGGCCATTAAGACTAGAAGACACTCGTAAGCTACTAATATTTGACCACAGATGTCTTAGAAATATTGCTCGCATCTTCTGGGATCACCGGGTGAGTAATAGTGAGGTTAGACGCAGGGTATTAGGGATTGGTGGTAAATCAGTTGATGAGGTTGTGAATCTTCATCGAATGAGGTGGTTGGGCCACGTGCTAATGAGGTGTGGCAATTTGGACTGATGCATATATGTGTCTGATCCTACGTTGTAGATGACTGACTGACTGATCACAATCCAAATGTGTATGTATGTTATCGCATCCTCAGAGGATTACTTTCAAATCGTCACATTTTCAATTATTCAACTAATCATAACATACATATGTAGCGTTTTTACCATCATAAGAATTATCATCTCTCACTTAATCCTAATGTAGTGAACAAGAACACGAGTGGGGACAATCGAATATATTTGAACATAATATATATTACAGAACGTCTTACTAAAATCTGAGAACCATACCGTAAATAGTTAATGTACAAAATATTAATCAATTGTGTCAAACTTGACTGTTCCATTTGCAAATATCAGTCCATCGTCTCGGATTTCATTGTTCTTCCATTTTCATATCAATCGTCTTCCGTTTCCGTTGTTTCCTTTTCGATCTTCTACTGAAATACATTCCATTCCTGACTATCGTTATATACTACTTATGTAGATATAAGTAGCTCACACCACACTAATGACTAGGTATCGGAAGTGTTTTATGCTGAATATTCTATTTAATTAATCAAACTTTGGCAATCTATTGACTGTTTATATCATTTCAATCTCAGGAACTGGTTTATTCACAATAAATTTTTAAATTTTAGGTATTCAAATGAATCTCTGTAATCATTTTATTAAATCTGTACGGTTATACACAAATTTCAATTCGGGAAACAAATTGTTTAAATCATTCAATTTCTCACCATTGAATCTTACTAAGTAAGTTGATTTTCATACACTTTTTTGTTACTGTTTGACTATACAAGATATACTTTTCCATTTTATTCCTTAATTGATTACACTTAGTACTTTGATTATTAGTGTTTGAATATGGATTGGAATTCAGGACTTCACGTAATGGAACGTTATATACTGTACTAATTTTAGTCTACCAGTAGTCACGATCATAAATTAATATCAATTATTTCACCATTGTAATTTTTAAGACAGTCTTACTACATACACACTCAGCTTTAATAATCACATTTTTCGTTCAATCCAAATGGAACTATCAATAACATGCTAGATGTATTACTAAAGGCTACTCATAATATCACGACGTCATTGGTTTTCTAGAGTAATATAAATTTTATAATCCTTTATTACCTGCAAAAACAAATGATCTATTGTTGGGGATGTTAGATCCCTAGAACTCACTTGGGAAAGGACCTAATTTTGTAATTTTATGTAGAAAATTTGAATTTCTTTGTTTTCGCGGCAAAGGCGCTCTTCTCACCTTCATGTCGTATTTCTCACTGGGGTATATCTTAAATGCTATTGGTCCGTTGCGTCTTTTAGTATGCTATTTGGTAACTTTCCCCAAGGACGGTTTTGTACTGTATATATACGTTTTTAATTGTAATTGTTCTTATCGCTCGTTTCTGGCTGTTTGCCGAATATACTTCCCCATTCGAAGCTTGGTCTTCTCCCTCTAGTTAGCGGGGCTTGGACCCATCAATAGCTAGCTTACTGGTTTTTGGTCACCGAGTCTTGTTTCTCATTCGCAGATTATGTGAACTCGTGATAGCTTGAACTCTAGCATCTATGGTAGTTTAAAAATTAAAATTTAACTTGTATTTAGGTATTTTCTGGAAAAAGTAGATTTTTAATCTAAAGCATTACTTTCAATTTTCTTATCATCTTATTATTACTTATTATTACACATGATTAATTATCCCCAAAAATTTAACATTACGTTGTTTCAGAGGTAGTGCATACAACCACTATTAGGGAAGTCCTACATCATTGCCTTCTCGTGGAAGAGGCTGTTGTTCACGAAATTCAGAGTATGCAAAGCGAATGTACGACGCTTTAACCGGATCGGTAGATATGGAGGATTTACCTAGATGAGTTGGAAAACACTGATTCCAAAACAATGGTGCACATGGCCTCCAGTATCCTGAGGGAACAACTGGTGTATCAACCAATTATTGGTCACCGGCTACCACGGGACTGCATCTCCTTACGTTGCTCCACTGCCTTGCGGATTAGACTATTAGGTCGAAGGCTCCAGGTGTACCCTCCTAGGAAAACCACGTGCTTTGGTCTGCGTATCTGGACACTATCATTACCCACACACAAATCAAGTGTTTTGTGTGGTGCATATGGGTTCGGTTCAATTTTGTACCAATATTGATGTGTTCAAATAATAGTAAATAAATACATAGAATATTTGTATTGTTTATTATTATTTGATAAAGTAACTTGATTATAGTAGAATCATTTCGTGACGAAAGTAACTTTCACTGATATTTCGTAGTCTATCAGTAAGATTTGTTAATACGTTATTGTGTTTTTTTTTAAAAATTTTAAAATAGATTTAGCTTAAATCCTCTACAAATTTATAAACATGAATTATCAACAAGTTGTAGTTTAAATCGCTGTCCTGGTATAACGTATCCGCGACCAGTTAGTCGCTATTGGGCAATTAGTAAAATGAGGGATCCTCATCAATACACAGTTGATCCACTTCCATTAGTACGAACAGGAGGACGAGGACCTGATGGTAATACATTTGACTGTATTAATAATGACATTTTACTGTTAGATATTTTCTCAATTACTTTTCTCATTTAGAATAATTTCTGTAACAGAGTTATTAAATCAAGTAAACTTCGAGTTTGTTTTTTTTCAAGTGTACACATAAAATTCAATAAAAGTATGAAATTTAGTACACTGACGATTTCCTTAAGGCTTTTAAGTTGTGTTTTTTTGGGGGGGGGATATCAGTAGCAGCTGAAAAACATTGAATAAACGAAATATATGTTGAATGAAGTGGCAAATTAACGTCTAGTTTGATAAGTGTTTTCCAGACCTCTAAGGAAATATAATAAATTTCCCAAACGTTCAGTTAACATCAAATAGTAGTACTTGGTACTTTCAAATAACAGTTTATGAGTTTAGTAGTGCCTTTTTGTATATCATACCTAGTTTAAAATTATCGCAACTCTTACGTTATCATTCAACTGCTAAAATGGAATAACTCAACTAATTTAAAGCCTATTTGTTAGTTAGTTTGTTTTTTAATGTAAGTTTTCTGAAGTTCCGGTTCAAACTCATGATTTATGAATCTCATTCCAGATTAGCATGGTTGTTTATCGTTGACACTAGATTATGATTACTTTGTTTCATTAATTGCTATGAGTTGTAAGTTATAAATCATTGTATATTAAACAATCAGTTGATGGCTATATTCTCATCACTTACGTTCAGATTTATGTAAATCTAGGTGAATTTCTTGTTATAATCCTTCATAAACTTTTTGAGCCTGGGTTTTGTATATTGAATGAAGTCGACATGACTCAGTTTGATCGCCTGATAAATATCCATTAGTAGAAAATTTAAGCTGTGCAAGTTCATCCATACAATCATTATTCATAAAGCAGTATCTATACCGAGAAACAGATTTCATTAAAGTACTAGTGAATTTTGACGTTATAGTCTATTAATTATCATTAAAATACATACAACCACTGCCAGTCATGTCCTACTCACTGTATTCCCATGGTATCGAAGCTAAATGTTATTTAAGTTAGTTTAAAGCACATCATGTGAGAATAGGGTTGAGATCTTTGTCTGTCAATATTAGTAAAACGGTAATACTTTAAGACTGTTTTGTATATTTTTCAGTTTTCTTGGAAATCATATCCCTATTCTACCTACAAGTAGCAACTACACTGTTGATGTAAAATTTAAGACACAACCGACTTATATTCAGTTCATCATATTTTTATTGTTGTAATATTAGGCTTATTTATTTATAAATTCAAATCATTTACCATTTGTATTTAAATTTTCCTCTCATTTAGGTAAAATTAAACTAAAACACGTTACAACTGGATTAAATCGTCCATGGTTTATGGTAGATCACAATCGTTCCAGACAAGTTTTAACTAAAACTATCCATGAAGAATTAGTATTACAGGTAGGTAAACACAAATTATAGCTTTATTTGTGTCATTGGATGCAATGTAGACAGAAAGGAATATGTTACTGCCTAGTCGTTTTCTCAAAGATAACTTTTCATGACCTATTTATAGTATGTACCGGTTACTTAGTCTACGACGACGCAGTCCCCATAAGTTTTCAAGATGTTGATGATTCCCTTTTGCTCTGCATGAATTCAATAATCAAAAGTGAAGATTTATAGGATAGTTAAATTTTAATCAATAAACATTTAAATGAACCCACATTTTCAATAGTGATGTTAGAACTTGAAAATTAACCATGACGACTGCTTCTTGGAATATATCTATGTATATAGTACTTACTAGAGACATTTCATTAGGCTATTGTAAATATGGGCACTGAGACTAAAATTTTCTTTCACTATCCGTTCCAAGCAGTTTTAACTAAGTACTCTTCAAATACTGATGTTATACCGAAAGCTGTATGCAATCCGTACCACTTACCTGGGTAACTTTATTTTATTTATTTATTTGAACACATAAATATTGGTACAAAGGGGGACCGAACACATATATGCACCACACAAGTCACTTGATTTGTGTGTGGGCTATGATACTGCCTGGATGCCCAGACCGAGACAGGTAGTTTTCCTAGAAGACCACGCCCCGAGCCTTTGACCTAAAAGTCTAATCCAAAAGGTGGTGGAGCAACGTTAAGGGATGCAACTACATGGTATCCAGTAACCAACAATAGGTTCATATGCCATTTGGTCCCTTAGGATCCTGGAGCCCAAGTGCACCATTGGTTCGGAATCAGGGTTTTTCAACTCCCCTAGGTGGGTCCACCAACCCTGTTAAAGTGCCGGACATTCTCTTTTCGTCCTCAATTTCGTGAACGGCACCCCCGCCGCGAGAATGCAGTGAGTAGGACTTTTCTGGCAGAGGCTGTATACGCGTGGCCATGTGAGAGTATTTCGAGAGTTAGAGCGGACTCTCCCCACCCGCGGCCGTACCAGGGCACTTGGCGGACCGGGAAAAAACAGGACAGCTACAGAATAAGTGGAAATATTTTTTTCAGCCACTAGCAAAATAATTTTCAATCCATCGGTTTTAAACTGTTACCTTCAACTTCGACTTCTAAGTTAGAAAGTTATGACCATGAGAACAATAAAGAACATAGGTGAAATAATGTTCGTTATTTAAAAAAAACAATCGTCGTGTTCTTTCTTAATAACATTCTTTTTTAATCCATGTTCATAGGTCAAAAAAACATGGTGGAGACATCCGTTTATTGCTTTAGTAGCCTCAGGTGAAGTGAAAAGATGGATTATTGCAACTGCTAGTATGAAACCTGGAGATATTATACGTTCACATGTAGATATCCCTACTATTCCAGGTAAAACTTTACCCACTCATTACATTTTTCCCCTCCCCCTTCCTAAATTTTACGATTAGTATTTAAAACACAATTGTATATATAATTGTAATATAATGGGAATTTTTCAGTGATTAGTATTTAGATAACAACTGTGTTAAAAACATTCTTGAACCACTCTGGTTGTTGAATCTTTCCAGCTACCGATTAGTTGAGTTTAGGCTCATTAACCAATTAGAAAGACAAATTGATTGACTTTGTATTTCTGCATGCAACTAATCTCAGCATATTAGGAGTCGCTTCATATTAAGGATGAAACATTTGCCAATTTCATTTATTATAATGCTCAATTGAAGGTCTGATATCTAGACTTAATATAACTATCAAGAAGTTATGAGATTTACTAAAACATCGACCAAATTTAAGTTTCAATATTAACGACTGGTCGCAATCGCTGATCATACTAATATTATGAGAAAGGATCAAAATCATCCTGTAAAAACCATAGAGAGATTAGTCTGACTAATATAACGCTTAAGATATTAGCATCAATAATTATCGAACGCCTAACAAAGACTCGTGAACTGCAAACACGAGAGAACCAAGCTGGCTTCAGACCTGGTCGTGGCTGCATCGACCACATATTCACCATTCGTCAGGTTCTAGAACACAGGCATACTTATCGACGTCCGACAATGGTGGTTTTCCTTGACTTAAAAGCAGCATTTGACTCTATAGACCGAGAGGTTCTGTGGCAGTGTCTGTCATTGAAAGAAGTACATAAACCTTGTGAAGGCTCTTTAATCGAACACTACTAGTCAAATCAGAGCTTATGGTGAACTGTCATCTACTTTTGCAACCTCAAGTGGTGTCCGTCAAGGCTGTCCACTTTCTCCATTTTTGTCTAACTTCATCATAGACATGCTGATGGAAATAACATTCTCGTCTACTGAATTTTCGGGTGTCGATCTCCTACCAGGAGGTCCACTTATCGACTTGGAATACGCAGATGACATAGTCCTGTTTGGTGAAGACGCTGATAAAATGCAGAGTCTTCTGGTAGCACTAAGCAACAATGCCGGGATGTTTGGGATGCGCTTCTTTCCCTCTAAATGTAAGTTGTTGCTTCAGGGCTGGTCTGCGTCAACACCTGAACTAAGGATAGGGAGTAAAGTAGTCGAACGCGTCGACAACTTCATTTATCTTAGAAGTCTGATCAGCCCTAATGGGTTGGTATCGGACGAAATCTCAGCATGGATTCTAAAGGCTCGTTTGGCTTTTGACAACTTACGTCACCTATGGCGAAGTCGAGATATCCGTCTATCAATAAAAAGACGAGTATACTGAGCTGCAGTTCGTTCTGTTCTACTTGACGGCTGCGAAACCTGGCCATTAAGATTAGAAGATACTCGTAAGCTACTAATATTTGACCACAGATGTCTTAGAAATATTGCTCGCATCTGCTGGGATCACCGGGTAATTAATGGTGAGGTTAGACGCAGGGTATTAGGGAATGATGGTAAATCAGTTGATGAGGTTGTGAATCTTCATCGACTGAGATGGATGGGCCACGTGTTACGTATGCCCGAACACCGATTATCACGACGTGCAATGCTGACTAGTGTTGGAGACAGTTGGAAGGAGGATAGGGGCGGCCAAACTCAAAATGTGGCATCAGTCCTTGAAGTCACTAACTTTTGGTCTGAGCCATGTTGGTAGGTGCAGACTACTTGGTTGTGGTCTGGGCGACTATCGTAACTAGTGATTGAAGATTCTGGGTGACATTGCTCAGAATCGATCACAATGGCGTCGGTGTATACACTCTTTGTTTTCCCTTAAACCATGAGACTAAATTTGCTTTATACCTTTCCTTCTACAAACTAATTCTTCTTTTCTGTATCATATTCTTATATGCAATCTTTTTTTATATATTATCATTGAAGTAACTGCTCCTATGAATTTGGTTTTCATGTTGTTGTACTAATGAGGTATGGCAATTTGGACCGATTCATATATGTGCCTGGTCTTACGCTGTAGCCGACTGACTGACAATATTAATAACAACAATGAGGAAAAAATATCGAGATAATTTGTTTACGTGAATTAGAACCAAGCTATACCAATATTAACTACTGATCTTAGCAATGTACCAAAAAGTAAGCTATATGTGGCATATTAGGAGTAATGCATCGGAAACTTTAAGACTCATTGATATTTCATTTTGTTTACCACTCCGTTTCAAAGTTGGATTACTTATAGTGCTATTCTTCGATTTCTAAAGCTGTGGACAGTTAATTTAGTTGTCATCTACACTTTAGTTTTCTAATTAGTTGTAAATTTGTACTCGAATGTAGATGATGCAATCTCGATTCTTGACTAGTGCAAAAATAATTTTCAACAATAGTAATTGTGTTTTATGAAAACTGTACAATTCGTTAATATATTTCCCTAAATATGAATATAACAGGCCAAACTTTGTTCTTTATGGCTTATATATATATATATATAGCCTGTTACTAGATACTCGTTAAAATGTAATAGCAACTAAAATCCTTCAATTTACCTTAGCATTTAAAACTAGCAGTTGATCTATAATTTTACTTTATGAAACCAAGTTACAATTTAAAAGGGACTAGTGTTGAGTTTTCCATATTTATTATTCGCAATAATCTTAATTTGCTTGTACTATCTATCTATATTTTTCTTAATGTAGTTGATCCAAAAGAAGGTGATGCTTATCCAATTGGTGCATTACCAGTTGGTACAATTATTAGTCAATTTGAAATAAAACCTGGTCAAGGTGCTTTATTTTGTCGGACAGCAGGATCTAGTGCAACAATATTTCGACGTGGAAAATATGTTGGTTCAAAATTAAATGAAGAATTAAATTTCACATCTTTAACTGATGAACTAGGAGATGAATATGTTGTATTTGTTAGAACAAATGGAAAACGTAAAATTTATCGACTTTTACCAACATGTATGTGTGTAGTTGGACAAGTATCTAATGAAAATCATGATCAATTTAGGTAAGTTAATTACGAATAACTAGATTTCATATCGTTAATAATTATGTAGGATATTTCTGTTAAGTGTCAACATATTTTAAATGCGTTGGGCTTTGTTTTACGTCGTTTTGATTTCTATAGTGTTATCAGTAACCACGCTGTTATTTTAAATTGGATTATGTTAAATAAGTTTTATTTTCAGTGAAGATTATTGTTCATTTACATAGGGAAATTTTTCATGTGTATTTAAAGATTTACACTACATGCTTAGTATTATTATTATTGATGTATAGAGGTAATTGATGACAAGTAACCTTATACATTGTTTGAGTTTTTTTTATTAAGGTTAATACTTTCTGTTATATGGACTCAATTTGTTTATTACTGTGAGAAGTGTACCATGTCAATGTTCACCGAATTACTTTCGATTAAAATGTTCTTATACCTGATCGATCAGAATACATCATGCGTAAGGAATAAGTTATGTATGAAGCTTTATATGCGATTCTCGGACAACGTGTTATTTTGTTTATAATAACTAACTAAACAATTCTTAAGTAAATCATTAGATTTTAAGATATTGCATGTTTATCGCTAATATTATATTTATTTATCTCTTTTTCATTGTTTTATATATATACATATAGATTTCGTAAATTTGGTGAAAAGAAATGGAGAGGAATAAAACAACGCAGTGGATTGTGGCAGCGTAAAACAGGAAGATTTGGTCGAAAAGTACGACCGATCGGTCCACCTATCGACCTTGTACCATGTCAAAGTTCACCAGACTACTATAAATTAAAATGTTCGTATCCTGGTCGATCAGAATATACAATGCGTAAGAAACAAGATATGTATGAAGCTTTACATGCAAAAAACAAACTAAGACCACAACCTATTCCTGGACGTCACAATGAATTACCTGACAAAATGCCACGATATCGTTGGTGTTCTTGGTCATCTGTACGATAAGAAGCACAAATGCTACAAATCTTATAAATTTGAATGTGTAATATCTGATGGTTGTACTAAATGGTTATTACCGTGCTTTTTATCGGTAATCACCTACTTTAGCTGTTTTATAAAAAGAAATAATGTGAAATTGAATTTATTCAAATCTAAAACCACGAATGAACCAAGTCAACAGCTATATCTACTGTATTATAACGATGACGCTTGTATAAACGAGGCAGGTCATAGCGAAGTTCTGCAACCACTTTGCCCTGTGCACCAGTACTCTGTATTGTATGTAGAACATGCTATACAGTTATTTAAAAAAAAGTAGACATGAATGAACAAGTATTTTGACTTATAGTAATTATAAAATAGCATAGTAAACCGTTAATTGGTGCACACTATAGTAAATAGCTCCTAAACAATATTTTTTACCAAGATTATATTTAGATTATTGTGTTTAGGTACACGAGTCAAATTTTTGCGGTCGTATTTTTGTTTGCTATTCGAGGTGTACCTGTGGTGCGTGCTACTTATATTGATATAAGTAGTATATAACGTGAGTCAAAAGAACGTAATGGCTGGCAGCAGAAGATGGAGAAGATCAAGAAAAGAAGAGCGAGAAAACAATGGAATTTGTAAGAAATCGCATGAGCAATGAAATGCGAGACAATGGATTGATGTTTGCAACAGCAACAGCCCGGTTTGATATGATAGAATGATATTTTGCAAATTAACGATTTACTATATGGTTTTTCTATTTTACCAAGTAATTCTGTAATTTGTTCAAAATACAATTTGGCTGTCCTCACCCGTGTTCTTCCTCACTACATTTGGTGTCGCTGCCTCCACTGAGGATGAAGATCCCATGGCCGAAGGAGTTTGAGGACGGAGATGTGCTGAGCTTCCTGAAGGAGTTTGAGGCCGTGGCGGAGCTGGTGGGAGTGAAGGAGCCGAAGGCGAAGTTGGTGGTGCTGGGGACGCTGCTGAGAGGCAGGGCGAAGGCGGTGTATGACAGCCTGGACGGAGCTGGCGGGAAGACCACATGGGAGGCAGTCACGGAGCGGTTGGCGGCGGAGTTTGACAGCCCAGTGGACAGAGAGGACGCGCTGCAGAAGTTCCGGTTGGCGAGGTTGCCGGTCGATGGGGACCCACTGGTGCTGGCTGTGGAGCTTACCAGATTGCTACGCCGTGCGCTGCCGAGTCTGGATGAGGAGTCGGAGGCACAGTTGTTGGCGTCGCAGTTTATCGAGAGTGTGCCTGCCACCGTCTCCCAACAGCTGAAACTGGTGAACGCAGCGCAACCGATGGATATCAGTGAACTGGCGAAGGTGACTCGTCAGCTGATGACGCGAACAGTAGCTCCGGTCGGGTGCGGAAAGCAGGAGATGAGTAATGTCGAGAAGAAGATTGAGGAGCTGGAGCGCGAGATTGCAGCAATACGAGTGAACAATAAAAGGAACGATAAATGTTACGCTTGTGGAGGGACAGGACATTGGAAGATAAACTGTCCAACAAGACGAAGACGCAGAAATGTTAGACGTTACAACGAGTGTTCTTTCTATCCTAGGAATCTGGGGATTGTTGCGTTAGTAGACAGAGGGGCAGTATATACGAGAGTGAACATAAATGAGCGAGATTTAGTTTGTCTGATCGATACAGGTGCAGCAGTATCGTTAATAGGCAAAGAACAATGTAAGAGAATCAAGCCGTGTACATTAGCTGTCCACACGATAGGGGGCCATATGTTAGAGGTGTTTGGTGTATCTAACAGTATCGTAAAAGTGGGGGATGCGGAGATAAATTTTCCGTTCGTCGTAACCACAAGCTTATCGAGACCGATATTAGGAGCAGATTTCCTAAGAGAAGTAAAAGCGATAGTTGACTTAAGAAGCGGTAAGGTGGTCACGAAATATGGTTCATTGACAATACACGAAAGTAGCGAAGTGGCTGAAATAAGAGTTGCAGCGGATGTCTCGTCAAAGAAACCAAACATTCACGAGTTATGCAAAAAGTATGCGAAACTATTCACTGGAGATGGGGAGCCGTATGGATTTTGTGACAGAGTAAAGCACGAAATACCAATAAAGAACAGTCGAGTAAATATATTTGCAACACGTCGTGTCCCGGTGCATTTAGAGGCTGAGGTAAATCGTCAGGTCCAGGAAATGTTAAAAGAAGGTATAATTGAGGAAGCGGACAGCCCATATAGCTCGCCGGTACTCTTGGTAAAGAAACCAAATGGAAAGTATAGATTTTGTGTCGACTTCAGAGAATTAAATAATATAACAGACCTGAAGCCTTGTGCAATGCCAACAGTGGTGGAAACATTAGATCGGCTACAGAATGCCACGGTGTTTACAGTGCTGGATTTACGGTCAGGTTATTGGCAACTGCCTATAAAAGAGAGTGATCGGAGCAAGACAGCGTTTACTGTACGGGATAAACAGTATCAATTTAAACGAATGCCGTTCGGGTTGGCGGGTGCACCGTTCACGTTCAGAAGATTAATGACACTACTGCTCAAGAATCTAGATAATGTCGAGGTATATGGCGACGACGTAGTTGTGTACAGTCAAACAGAAACAGATCACATCAAACATGTGGAAGCAGTCTTAAAGCGAATTGACGAATTTGGACTTCGGATTAATAAGGACAAGTCGCAGATAGCGAAAAGTAGCGTCACATTGTTGGGACATAAAGTGGGAAATGGAGAAATAAAACCATTGCCGGAGAAAATTCTTACCATAAAAAATATTGCAGTACCTAATTCGAAAAGGAAGTTGAGACAGTTCCTGGGAAGAGCGGCGTTCTACAGTCGGTTTGTCAAAAATTTCAACGAAATAGCAGCACCCTTATATAAGTTATTGAGCAGCACCAAGTTTACGTGGACTGAGACTGCCGAACAAACGTTCAACCGAATCAAAAACATGCTAGACGATCGCCAGATGACGCTTAGACTGCCTGAACCGGGAAGACTGTTTACAGTGGCCACAGACGCGAGTGATCATGGTATAGGTGCTGTGTTGAGTCAGGCTGATAGAGTGGTGGAATACGCGAGTCGCGTCCTCACACCTGCTGAACAGAAGTATTCAACCATCGAAAAGGAGTGTTTAGCGATCGTGTGGGCAGTGGAAAAATGGAGACCATACCTTTTAGGTAGACGATTTCACATTGAGACGGACCATAAACCCCTGCAGTGGTTGAAAACAGCAAGAGACCCCCGAGGGAAGTTGGCGCGATGGATGATACGCCTGCAAGAATACGATTTCAGTATCGGCCATGTTCCAGGAAAAGAAAACGTAATGGCAGATTACTTGTCAAGACCAGATATGGAAGCCGACCTGCCATTAACAGCATACGCGATGAATAGTTTAGAGGGAGACCCATTAGAACTCGTCCGGCAGCAGAAAGCTGACCCTAACCTTCGAGAGGTAATCAGAGTGATAAAAGAGGGAGCAGACGTAGATAAACGAACAATGGACAAGGAGGTAATAACGCTGCTTCGGCAAAAGGACCGACTGAGAGTGAACTCATATGGAGTGCTGACCTGGCAGGACGATGATGAAAATTGGGTGGCGGTGATCCCGAAAGACTGGCGGCGTAAAGTGATACACGAGTGTCACCAGGTAGCACATACAGGCATCTCAAGAACGACGGACTTACTACGACAAAGTGCATACTGGCCGAGCATGAGAGACGATGTGGCTGAATACGTGTTAACCTGCCAGCAGTGTCAGCTAATGAAAAGCGATCGATACACACAACCGCCATTACAGTCAATCCCAGTAACCGCAGTCGGTGATCTATGGTCGGTTGATGTGATGGGACCGTTTCCACAGACGGCGAGCGGTAACCAGTATCTGTTAGTGATGACGGAACATGCCACACGTTGGGTAGATGCTGTACCCATTGCAGACCAGCGGGCAAGGACAGTGACCGAGGTGGTAATCCGGCATATTGTAGCGTGTCACGGAATACCGAAGATGATATTAACTGACCAGGGTCCCTGTTTTGAAAGTGACGAGTTTAAAGCCCGTTTAAAGCAGTTTGGCATCAAGAGAATACGAACTACACCATATCATCCTCAGACAAACGGGCTTACAGAGAGAAACAATCGGACGTTAAAGGAATGGTTAGCATCAAAAGGAGGAAATTGGGAGAAAGAGTTACCATTGATTTTGCTGGCACATCGTTCCTCAACACAAGGAACAACCAAGAAGTCACCTTTCTTGCTCATGTATGGCAGACAACCACGACTTCCAATGCATAATAAGACCTGGCCACAACAACAGAAGTGGACGACAACAAGGTTAAGAAAAGAGAGGAGAGAGGCAATAAGGAACGTGGAAAAGAAACAAATATCAGACACAAAGAAGGCAGAACAACAGAGGAGAACGTGGAAACCCTTTGCAGTGGGGGACCTAGTAAAGTGTAGAGAACGAAAAAGTAACATAGCAGGGGGAGCAGGGTCGGGGAAGCTGGCTCCAAAATGGGAAGGACCGTATGTAATCACGGAGAGACGCGGCTCGGTCTACACGATCCGGAGAGAAGACAAGCAGAAGCGCGTAAATGCTAGTCAACTACAGAGATGGTTTCAAGATCATCATGAGTGTGAATCACGAAAAGCACCAAAGAACACAGCGGTACGGAGATCAGAAAGACTACGACAGCAACTTGTTAAAAGGGGGGACGAGTGTGGTGCGTGCTACTTATATTGATATAAGTAGTATATAACGTGAGTCAAAAGAACGTAATGGCTGGCAGCAGAAGATGGAGAAGATCAAGAAAAGAAGAGCGAGAAAACAATGGAATTTGTAAGAAATCGCATGAGCAATGAAATGCGAGACAATGGATTGATGTTTGCAACAGCAACAGCCCGGTTTGATATGATAGAATGATATTTTGCAAATTAACGATTTACTATATGGTTTTTCTATTTTACCAAGTAATTCTGTAATTTGTTCAAAATACAATTTGGCTGTCCTCACCCGTGTTCTTCCTCACTACATACCTACTACATCACTTAACACGTAGTAAAAATTAAATTACTAGTCTACGGACTTAGTTTTCAAGAGACCTTTTATAAAACATGTTGAGGTTTACAAAATGTGGTTAAATGTTCCGAATGCTTGATTATGTAATGTAAGTATCGTCTATGTAATTGATACGCCAGTAAACAGCTTGTAGCCTTAGTTTGTTCATTACATCACTTATAGGGTCATAAATTTTTATTTCTCGATAAACAATATAGCTGAGCCTCATATATTAATTGGCAAGTTTCCACCAGGCCAGTTAACTAAACACTGAGTGTCAGTTTGGTCATTAAGAGTTAATTCAAAAATAGCGTACTCGGCTAGTTAACTATGAAGTCTTCGAGACCGACATTATGAGTTTTTTGCTAGCAGTTATGGAATAGTTAGCTCAGAAAATTAGCATCAGCTAGGTGTTCTCAAAAACCTGTTTGTTCAAATTCGCACGCCACTAGCTTTTATTCAGTCACTGATCTCGTAGAACCTTTGTTATAAATATTTTATAACTTAAAACTCACCCCCGAACGCCCTGGTACGGCCGAGAGTGGGGAGAGTCCGCTCTAACTCTCGAAATACTCTCACATGACCACGCGTATACAGCCTCTGTCAGGGAAGTCCTACTCACTGCCTTCTCGTGGCGTGGGTGTTGTTTACGAAATTGCGAGGACGAAAAGCGAATTTCCGGCGCTTTAACCGGATTCCAAACAAATGGTACACATGGGCTTCAGTATCTTGAAGGAACAAATGGCGTATGAACCAATTGTTGGTCACGGGCTACCATGGGACTGCATCTCCTCACGATGCTCCACTGCCTTGTGGGTTAGACCTTTAGGTCCAAGGCTCGGGGTGTGGCCCCCTAAGAAAACCACCTGCTTCGGTCTGGGCACCCGGGCAGTATCACAGCCCACACACAAATATGATGAACTGCCTATAACTATGGAAACTACCTTACTTGCTTCAACTGACAATCAAATGATTATTATTATTATTATTATTATCATTTATATTATTATTATTTACCACATTCACCCTCTTTTATACTTACACAGCGGCTCGTCTTTGGTGGAAATTCGACTGTATCTAAACGTTCTCGAGTCACTGTACGGTTGAAAATTGTATGTTACCACCGAATACGAGGACTGAAGCAGTTTTTCTGAAACCACGTGCACCATTCAAACTGGCTGCCTTCAACGTTCGCCTATGCCCCGACATATTGCAGCCCGGATGCAATCAAGGATGAGTTTTACCACCAGTTGGTTGCAGGTCAGATAACGGGGACCGTCTACTGCAACTCTGCACAGACCACAACCTGTTTCGGTCAGACTGTCCTGCCCTCCATGGCCGGTGACGACTGATCCACCAAACGAGGAGGAAGTCCGCAAGGAACTCCAACTCTTGAAGCGTTACAAATCACCTGGCCCAGATGACTTACCTCCGGCTCTTTTTAAAGATGGTGGTGGATTTCTGATTGAGGAATTGACGACGTTGTTTACAAAGGTCTGGGAACTAGAGAGTGTACCAACGTCATGGAATGAGTCGATAGTTGTCCCTATCTTTAAAAAGGGTTCACGTCGTTCCTGCAACAACTATCGGGGGATAAGTCTACTTCCGATTGCGTCCAAGCTATTGGCTTCCGTCATACTTCGTAGGTTGTTCAAAACCCGAGAAAGATTGACTCGCGAAGAGCAGGCTCGGTTTCGTTCTGGTCGAGGATGTATTGATCATATCTTCACCCTCCGCCAAATGTTAGAACACCGTCATACTTATCAAAGACCAACAATCGTAGTGTTTCTTGACATCAGGGATGCGTTCGATTCGTTGGACAGGACTGTTCTCTGGGATTGTGCCTGAGAAGTTTATTAACATCCTAAAAGCCCTATACAAAAACAACTCAGGCAGAGTGAGGGCATACAACCACCTTTCTCTATTGTTCTATTCGAGCAGTGGGGTTAGGCAGGGTTGCCCAATCTCACCAATCCTCCTCAACTTTGCCATCGATGACATTCTGGAAACAGCTCTGATGGATGTAGGTAATGGCGGTGTGGATCTTTTGCCTGAAGAAAGACTTCTCGACCTTGAGTATGCAGACGACATTATCTTACTGTGCGATAATACCCAAGGCATGCAATCCTCACTTAATCAGTTGGCAATCAGTGTCCGTAGGTATGGTATGTGCTTTGCACCTTCGAAGTGCAAAGTACTTCTACAAGACTGGCACGATTGTAATCCTGTACTCATCCTGGATGGTGAGCAGATAGAAGTAGTCGAGAAGTTCGTGTATCTAGGTAGCTGCATAAGTGCTGGTGGGGGTGTGAGTGATGAGATCAATGCACGTATAGTGAAAGCCAGAGCGGCTTATGCCAATCTGGGTCATCTTTGGCGCCTTCGTGATGTTAGTCTGGCTGTAATAGGTCTAACCTACAACTCATCGGTGAAACCGGGCCTCTCCGAGTTGAGGACGTTAGAAGACTCTCTGTGTTCGATCATCGTTGTCTCCGAAGGATTGCTGACATCCAGTGGCAACACCTTGTTAGTAATGAAGAGGTTCGGCATCATGTGTTCGGTCACAGAGATGATAATGCAATCGATGTCACCATCTTGAAACACCGGCTTCGGTGGCTTGGACATGTTCGAATCTCGTCCCAGAGAATTCCACGTCGTGCATTATTTGCCGACTCTGGGACTGGTTGGAAGAAGCGGAGAGATGGTCAGTGCATGACATGGTGTCGTGGCATGAAAGAAAGCTGCAAAGGACTGGCTTGTGTTGGTCCTTCACGACTCCCTTGTTGGGGTCTGAGAGATGGTGCTACACAGTGGCTAGAGACGTTATCAGATATGGCTCAGAATAGAAGCCGGTGGCGATCCTTCTGTAGCCTTCTTTTACTTTCTTCATAAAGTGGTTGTGTCTCCCTTAACTGAAAGATTCCTTCCGATTGTACCTTTCCGTTCCCTCATTATTACTACACTACCTTACACCAACCTCTTCGTTATTGTCCTCTTTTTTTACGCTCCTTACATTTTTTCCCTCTTCGAATTCTCATTGTTTTGTGTGGCGCATATATATTGGCACAATCCTGTACCAATATTTATGTGTTCAAATAAATAAATAAATAACTTAAAACTCATTATACTTACGTTTCGTGTGGTAGTTTTATGGAGCGAATATACATGTAAATGGGCAATGGACAGTGCAGCACGTAGGAATGCCATGTCAATACCTGAAAAAATAAAATTTATGTGTCAGTAAGACGTTACCATTATTTTTTGGGTTAGTGCCAAAAGGAGGATTTAGAATAACTGTATCCACAAATTTCTTGTTGTTCCCATCAAAGAGCCGTACCACGTCACACAAAGTAACATCAATATTTTCATCTAGCATTTCACATGTTCCTAGGTTTGATTGAAACTCATTTACAGCATCCCCATCAATTTCGAACCCAAGTACACAACTGATATCTATTATTAAGGTTGAAGGAGTGTCATTTACCTACCTAGCTCCAAGGAGTTTAGCACCGATAGACAACATTCCAGTACCGCATCCAAGATCGGCTACAGACATCCCTTCCAATGCATTATCTGTCATTTGAATATTAAACAAGATGTCCGCTAAACAAATGGCAAATTACTTTTAGTATTTCGTCAACTAACCTGCAACTTGTGCTGAGGTACAGTACTGTTCAAACTCAAGTTTTGGGTTTTGAAATGTCTTAACATTTTCCAGCTGGTGGTGTAGTTTTTTCCGACTTAACGTGGGCATACCACAAAGTGGTAATTTCTCCAAAATTTTACCTATAAAAATAGTAGTTACTATACAGTGCCAGATAAGACAAACAATTAATGAAATGTAGAAAACAGTAAAAACCCAATGTCACGTTACTCATACCATGAGTAGTTTTGCGGAGATATGCTAAATGTCTAACCAAACGAATGAATAAGTCCTCAATGTACGAAGGGACTTCAGCCACTTACACTGATTTCTATCAGTTCAAAACTACTTACCGAAACTAGGAATCCAGGTAGGATGTCGATATCAAAAGAGAAGCAGTTGGTTCATGATTGCTAGGATTATCCTACTTTGGCAGGACTGGCAAGTGAAAGTATTCCACTATTTAAGAAGAAGCAAGTGGAATAGTGTGTAAAGACACCGTCAATGCCAAAAACCTCGTCATCGTATTTAAGTTGTATTTTCTAGAAAAATGACCGATAATTCTAGAGTAAGCTCGTCGTAATAGCTCAGTGCTTATTAAGAATAGTCTATACCTAATGGGATTTGACGAATCGAGTGGTCAAGAGCACACTGGTTCTCCACATGCGTCAATTACCAGGCGTGGACGCTGCACCTAGTAACTTTATTTGGAATGCCATTGGATCAGTCAGATGTCGTCATAATCTACTCGACCGTCAAAACCACAAATATCACAACGCACAAGCTGATTCCAATAAGACTATGGTTCGATTTCTATCATTTTAAAAAATGACCACCAAAAGAAACACTTCAAAGTTATTCATAAAGATCTTTATACAGAATACTGTCTTAGCATAATCATATTCGCTCCTAAAGCAGTAGTTAGCTCCATGATCGGGGAGAACCCAAGAGTTTTCAGTTTGGGAAGGACAGGAGGCTTGATGGCCTATGTTAGTCCTGGCAATGATGGTCTCTCAGTTGATCCAACATTCTTTTGAAAGAGTCGACGGATGGGGCCTTAACCACGTGCTGAGGTAATGAATTCCACTCGATGATTCGATGGGAAAGTCGATAGTCAGCTGACAAGTAATTTGTTCTCGGCTTGTGAACTTTTTTCGAGTGTCCTCGTAAATTCTCTGTTTTGGAAGACAAGAAAAATGAAGGCATATCAGGTGCAAATTTATCACTAAGCGATTTGAAGACTGTAATCAAGTCGCCTCTAGTTCTGCGATATGACAACGGGAAAAGGTTCAGCTTGGCCAGTCGAACGTCACACGTAAGCTTCGTTACTCCGGGAATCAGCTTAGTCGCCGTTCTCTGAACCTTTTCCAGAAGCTCACTGTCTTTTTTTAAGCAGGGGCTAGCCGCTTGTATGCAGTACTCAAGTTTAGGACGAACGAACACTGTATACAAAGTCAAAAACGTCTTAGCGTCAACATGACTAGAAGCTCTACGTATTGACCATAAGGTTCTAAAACCTTTGGCAGCTATTGCACGGCAGTGTGCAGTAGTCTTTAAGTCTTGGCTAACGATGACTCCTAAGTCATTATGTGTCCGGACGGCAGGTAGCTCAGTGTTATTCATCGTGTATGTATCTGTACGTTCATGACCGATATGCATCATAACACAATTGGAAGTATTTATCGGCAACTGCCAGGTTTGAGACCATTCAGATAATTTCTTCAGGTCATTTTGAAGTTCTAAGCTATCACCCTCACATCGTATCGTTCTCCATATCTTGACATCGTCAGCATATAGCAAGACCGATGATGATAGGAGACGAGGAAGGTCATTTACATACAAGAGGAATAGCACTGGCCCCAAAACTGTACCCTGGGGCACTCCACTAAGCACAGTTCCCCAGCTAGATAACTTTGAGTTCACCCTTACTCTTTGTTGACGCCCAACTAAGAAGTCTTTTATCCACACTAATAAATTGCCTCCGATCCCGAAATTTCTTAACTTATATAACAGCCGGTTGTGCGGAACTTTGTCAAAAGCTTTGCTGAAATCAATGAAGGCTACGTCTACAGGTAACTTTTGGTCCTTAAGAGCACATCAGCTTTCACGAGCCACTAATAAGTTAGTGAGACAAGAATAACCTATTCTGAAGCCGTGCTGCTTCTCCGAAAGGACCCGATTTTTATCGAGATACTTAAACAGCTCCTTCCGAATAACCTTTTCTAAGATTTTAACAACCACACTAGTTAGGCTAACAGGGCGGTAATTCTCAGGTTTGTGTTTCGTACCTGTTTTGAAGACAGGGCTTACTATGGCGTTTTTTCAGTCTTTTGGTAAACGACCCTGCGTAACGGATAGGTTAAAGTATATACTTAAAGGGCTTGCAACGAAGTTAGATAATTCCTTCAGTAGCCTAGGATGTAATTCATCGGGCCCCGTGGACTTACCCATGTCAAGCTTATTTAGTAGACCAAAGACATCGAGTTCTTTAATGGTCACACTATCCAGTGTATGTATGGGGGGATCTATATGCGCTGACGGGAAGGGCGCTTCTATGGTATATACATTGCTAAAGTAGTTCGAGAACACTTGGGCCTTACCAAAGTCGTCCTCCACTAATGATTCGGCATTACTGTCTCCCCATAGAGCAGGAACATTTCCTCTTCTCTTTGTCCTTTGGTTTATATAGGAATACAAGCGTTTAGGACATTCTATGGATTCCTTATTAAGTTTTTCTTCGTACAACTTTCTAGACTTACGGAGGGTCGAGGCACAAGTATTCCGAGCTCCTCGATACTGGGATTTTGTCTCATCGGTTCCCAGTAACCTAAATCTATCCTACATTTTCTTTCTCTTACGGAGAACGATGCGGACCTCCCTACTGAACCATGGTGGGGAGTTTCTTGGCCCCCTTGGTGTAGTCCAAGGGATGTGGGGTGTGGTAACTTTTAAGTATGAATTTTGAAATGAGTTCCAGGCCGTTTCAACTGAGGACTCCGGGTCTATTTTCCAATCTACTAACGATGCTGAGTGCATGATATCTGGTATATTTGCTTTCCAGACGTTAGGTCTGGATCGGACTGACGCGTGCTCGTGACTGACAGTTATATGGGAGTCGAAAATTAAAACTGAGTGATCACTTTTACCTAGGGGTGGTATATAATGAAGGTTCGCAAAGTCATCCTCATAGTGAGTGAGTATAAGATCTAGTAAGGATGATTCAGTGTCCGGGTCGTACCTAGTCGCTTCTTTCACATGTTGCACTAGGGCACATGTGATAACCGCATCAACTAGTTCCTGCTCGAAGGAATTTTCTGACGATTCAATTCGCAGATTTTCCCAGTCTACCATAGGTGCATTAAAGTCCCCTAGGATTAGACATCGACCACTTTGTGACCAAGTATTGAGACTGCTTAGCAGGACGTCATTTACTACACAGCTTGGACTGCGATAGACCAAACCAACCAACAGCTCTTGTCCGTTGCATTTCAAGCGGCAACTAACTAATTCACACGTCCCACTCTCATGGGATACACTGTCGATAACGGCAAATGGGATAGCATTCAAAACGAATAGAGCTGCTCCCCCTCCTTTACGCTTTTGTATTATGTCGGCCCTTACTAACGTAAAACCCTCGGAATCAAGTTCCATACTATCTATAGCCTGTGTCAGCCAGGTCTCTGTAACTGCGATTATGTCTGGCTTTGTAGAGTCAATCTGCACAACTAGTTCCGATCGCTTATTGAGTAAGGTTCGGGCATTAGTGCAACAGATCCAAAGCCTATTTAAGTGGCTTCATGCTACACCCATAGTGTCTTCGGCATCATTTTCTGTCGAAGCCTTACAACCCGAAAATTTACAATTTTTAGGTTCCTTTTGCCAGCGTCTAACCCAAGTTGTAGTTCCTTTTCGGCTTCCCGTCTTTTAACACAGTCTGCCAACAGTAGGTCCTTTCGGATAAAGACTCCTGAACCCTTTAATTTGTGTCCATTCTGTAAAATTAGGTCACGTTCGTTCGAAGAGCTGAATACCACTTTAAGCAGTCTGGAATGATTTGGTTTCAAGTCCGCTAGACTACCTAGTCTGTACACCTTTAGCAAGGTAACCCCGGTGATATTTTGAGGCATGAGTTGATTAAGCAGCTGCTTAACCAACACAATGTCATGCTCAAAACGAGTTTTAGGTTCAGAGCTCTTGCTCTCCTTGATTCTATGAAAAATAGCTGATCTGTCGCTATGATCAGCTTTCGATTTTACGACTACTTTCGCGGCGGTAGGATTGCCTTTTATATCCCTACTTATTTTCTTCCTTACAACCTGAACCCATTCGTCAACGGTGCTGATAGAAGCAACAACAGTTGCGTCAAACCTCGTGTTGGATTCTGGGGGCTTGTCGACGACCTGAGAGGTCAGGTTATGTTTACCACTTGAAACCGATCGAGCCTTGCGATTGCGGCTTCTAGGCGTTTCCTGTTGGATCCCATCTGGGAGACGGAGAACAGAAGAACCTACTTTTCTTGAGCTTTTGTTTAAAGCAGGCCCCTTTGGAGACTGCTTTTCCTTCTTTTACCGGCGTGAGTTATCCATTATCGAACTAACCCTAGTTTCCTTCATGTCGATTTGCGTGTCGACAGATCGAGTGCTGTTTGACGTGTTCCGACTATGCTTGCTAAAACACTTCTTTGCAGCATCAACCAGTGAGATGGCCTCGGTTAACAAGCTGTTTGCATCCGAACAGCACTGTTGACAAAGCCATACGCAACCCTTTTTACTGAACCGTTTGAAAGCCCCAAGCGTTACGTTCGTGCAAACTTCGTGGTACCAGCCTTTGCACTCGTCGCAATGCATGCCGCTTTCAACAGGATAACGACAACCCGGACGTTGACAACAGCTTTTTTTACACTGTCCGGTCATTTAAAAGGGGTCCCTTTTCAAGAAGGAGCAAGATGTGATGATGCTCAGAAACAAAAAAAATAATCAATGACCAAAAAGTGAAGAGCTGTAGATTGCTAGGACCAAAAGTACCAACAGGTACAGTTGAAAATGAGGTACTCGAGAGTACCAACGACAAAACTAATTCAGAGAAGACTAAAAACGGTACTCTAGTCGAATACTTTAAATGAAATAAATTCAATTAAAGTGAAAACAGTAGTCTTGATACGTAATAAACGATCAAAACAATGAAATTTACTCAGCAAGGAAAAATACCAGTCCTTCTTAAGGATTTTCTGAAAAAAAACGGACAAGGAGGAATTCGGGAAGCTTGGCTCTGGTCAGTAGATGTACACTTTCAAGGTCAATTTACATCGCTCAAAGGTCGTTCGTAAAATATAGTCTTACTGAAAGCTTTTGTCGCATTTCTCTCAAATCGACAAACCTTTTTTTAAGGAAACATTTATTAAGACTTGGTAAGGCTGTGGGCGGTCTAGAATAAGGTAGAAGAGCTTAATACTTAAATCTTATTCCCTGCTAAGATCGCTGACGACTCATCAAGACAAAGTGAAATCAGTTCATTTCCAACATCCACCGTTAACAACAATGACACGGATGTCTTTTTTTTAGATTCGTGGTTAAATCCATGTTTCGCTTACCCGAATGACCAAAAAAGTTCGAAAGTACGTCCGTTCACAACAAAGAAAAAAGAGGACCAGATATTAACAATTGTGTGGACGACAATCCAAATGCATTTTCCAATAAATAACCCGATTTTCACTGCATCACGCAAAACAATAACACTTTAATTCAATAAATCGAAAGATAGACTTATGACTATATCTAATTTGTTTACAGTTTTTCAGGCCAGACTACCTTCAAAGTAACGCTGCTTTCGTATTCATGCGGTCTGACAGAATAGTGTTTTGTGAATCAATAATCACTTGTTTATTTTACTCTCTTGTTTTGTTGCTTACGCCTGCATTTTAGCTTCTTTTAACGCTAAAATAACTGAATTCGACAGTTAATCAGAGGTTAATAAGCCTTTCTTATTAATGAACGTGTTTGGATGATTTGATCATTGCTCAGTGTCTTCCCACGAATCCTGAAAATTAATCTCATTAGTTCTTCAGGAGGTGATATTCTTTTATTTCTTCTGTACCCGAACAATTATTACTATTTTTCAGACTGCAAACAACTTATTTCCTGCCTAATAACGTGATAGCTACTACCTTGAGAAACCTTATTCTCATAAGCGCGCTCTGTCAGTTTGAAATAAAGTAAAACCAGAGGGTTTCGTCTTACTTCTTTTTTTCAAAATTTAATGTCTCTGAAGCAATGCTGTTTCCATTTTCCCTACTTGTGTCCATCAATCGCTCTTTATCCTTAACAGGGACTGCAGTATATATGGAGCATTCATTAATTTCGTCGTCGTATACTCTTGAACCATTCCAAGTAGGAATGAAAAAGGAGGTAACGGAGTACCGAGCTGCCCGTATTGCCGACAGATATTTGATAGAATCGTTACAAAAGCGATAATTATGTTGCACGCTCTTCGCAAACTAAAACCAGTGACTGAGCATTTCAGTGTGATTTCTGTAGTAGCCATTCCCACCAGTACACCGAATTGTTGGATCTGAAGATCATAGTCATCCCTGAAACATAACGGTTGCCCGTCATCACTGACACATGGCACTGTTCCGAAAAGATGGAGTACACAAAGTAGAAGGTTGGGTGGCAATATACATTAACAACCACCTCAGTTCTGTAACACCACACAGAACTGTAGTCATCAAAACTATAGAATCACTCTAATGTTGCTCCAATGAAACTAACACCAAGTTTCTAATTGAAGGTATATGCTGACAAGACATATTTTCAGAATACTAAATGATAAGATAACATAAGCGACACTGAAGTTACCACATCTCGATATTGACCAAATACGTCCAGATAGAGAATTCAGTATTCCATCTTTTGACCTCAGAAAGCAGGACTCAACCTCTGCACAAAGGTATCAAATGCAGCTTACGACAACGAAGAAAAGTTTAGGACTAACTAAACATGTAGGTGGCACCACGTAACGAAACAGGGATCAAAAGCGCAAAACTTAGATAACATACTGATTGATTATCAGCTTCTAGTGCATGAGTTCCATGTCCGTGCAACGACGGTATTCAGTGTTCATGGCAGTGTTGTTTGGCGTGATCACAAACGATATAGTTCGGCGGGAGAACACTGTTCCTCACATTAACTACTCCAGAAAAGACAACACGGCCATGAGAGCATCTTGAACACCCTCTATTGGCGCCATATTTGTGGAAGCTAGCAATGGATTAGCACGAAAGGCTAATGAGTGATATCCCTCAAAACGATATCCAACATAATTAACCTCATGGAAAACATAAATCTGGATAGCGAAGTTCGCGGGCAAAGCTATGGGCGAAACGCTTGCCAATGGAAAAACGCATAGTCTGAGAAAAGCGATAGATTGCTTGGATGACATCTGATGGAGTCGCCGCTCTCAAACCGATTTGAGACATAGCAACAATACCATGGTCCGCAGCAACAGGAAATGTTTTCAGGCCAGGTTGGTGGCAAAACCAAAGTAAACGAAAATATCTCTAAAGATTCATGACCAAGCGGAGGCATACACACCAGAGGATCTGCACCCACAAACAGCCAAATGGCGTGGGTCTCAGTAGATTAGAGATGGCGGAGATCTTTAGTGCCGAATTCATAAACCAACTAAATCAAGAGCTTGCAACTGCAGAACACCTCTCAATTCTGGTGACAGTTGATGCTGCGGGGGCCATCTAACCAACTGCCGGGTTGGTATTAATGAGACTAGAGCCCCTGCACCCTGGAAAATAACTAGGGTATGACATCATCCATTCTATAATCCTGAAATAATGAGTGGAATCCATCAGCACACCTATATACACCTTCTTCAGGCGTTCACCACACCCATATGAACTTCAAAGAGAATAGAAACAGGTCACTCTCCCTCAAATCTTCAAAGTGGGAGGTGGAAAAGCCCATCTGACTACTGTTAAATGTAATGTAAGGATTGGTTAATGGACAAACTAAGGAATAAAAGTGACATTCTCCATGAAACCCAACACAGGCTCAGGAAAGGCATGTCATATACATACAATCTTCCCATAGCATGGGAAAGCTGAACAACCTGTTGTGACCATAAGACACTGGTTCATGTGGTGTTCCCCAACTTGGCAAAAGCCTTTGACACAATGTAACATGTACGTCTCATGGAGAAGGTTTTAAAGATGGGTTCCACTGGCCCATTTTTATCCTGGCGCACGAAACACCCATAACAGTATTTTTCGTATCATCTTAAATAGAATGCACACTAGTTGATAGGTCTGAACATCTAGATTTTCACAAGAAATAATTTTAGGTCCACTGTTGTTTCTAATCTTTATAAACAATCTGTTAGAGAAAATTAGTACTGGTCCAAGCAAACGACGTAACGACCTAGAGATCCATGAAAGCGAGACGAGTTCACTTGAGCATGAAGTGGATCCTACAACAGCCGAGGAATGGAGAGTTGACGAGTTCAAACTCAAAATGTCATATCATCAACGTTCTGCCTCATTCGAGACAAAGCACTAAAACCATCAATAGAAATTCACCGTCAATTATTGCCACACGGCGTGATCTCAGTCTTGTAACCACCGATAAACTGGACAATAGTTCAAAATAAGCACGCGTTGTGTTACTTATGAAGATTTTGTGCTTATTTAATGTGGTGTTATACCCTGTTCCTGTATACGTTCAGAAAGCCGCTAGAAAAGAATATCAACATCAATTGTTACTCACATAATTTTTCTCTGATATGTTACATAATAATATGTCACTTCAGTACAAAACAATGCTACCTATAATGAATATAACTTTTTACGGCTAAATACAAACAAGCTATATAATGTTCATAATTAGGTTTACGCTTAATTGCTTCTACTTACATTTTATAAACAACTACGAACATCTATGCTCAAAATCACCATAATCAAGGAGGTGAACCATATGTAATGGCTTTTACGGCTTATTTTCATGAAAAGTCAATCTGTGATCTATTTTTTGACTAGAAAAGTGGAGAATTTTATTTGTTTGACTTTGTATTGTTACAAATAACCATATTACGCTAACTACAGATTTACTTAAGTGGTGAGCAAGAAGTAAGTCAAACTGCTAATAAATTAGAACAAAAACTATACTGCAAGCACAGGCATTACGAAAATTCACGTGTGATGAAAAAAAGACTATTAATAGCTGATAAATAACGACACAAAAAATCCACGACAATATGTTACATGTGCGCGAAAACCCGTGACTTAACGGGCATACTGTGCCTTCAAATTACATGGACGATATAGCCATTGAAATACAACTCTTTACTTCACGCGTTTACAACTTAACGAAGTCACCTCAAGGTTCTTCCTAGCAATTTTTAAAACGTACTCATGGTCCCACCTTGAAATACATAATACCTTTGCGTTCCATTGCTCTCTCGCACAAGGAAAAGAGACAGGGAACCGGGATTGTTATAGTGCTAGGAGATAAATCTCACGAGGACAGACTCCAATACCTTGGATAGGTTTTTCTGAGCTACAGGAAAATAAGAGGTGATCTGATAATGGCATACATGTTGAGAATGTCAAGGCACCCCAACACGAACATCCTACCAGAACATCAACATCACGCTCATCAAGGCAACCGTCGAAAAGTTGCATGTCAAAAAGCTAACAAACAGATACGCTCTCATGTCCTCTCACTTATAGTCTTCTAAATTTGAAATGCTCTTCCAGCCGAAGCCACAACAGCTTTTTGATGTGGGTGTCTTTAAGAGGACACTTGATAAGCGCATGGAAAACCATACTCTACTGGACCAGCTGTGTCAGGTTTACGTTTCATGAATTACCACAGTTGCCATTTCTGCATAACCGATGACTACTTCCTATGTCTCTTACTGTCCCATTCGTTCGCCTATTAATCCTTAAATTCTATCTTCTTACACATTATTGATTTAGTAAAATATCTACTTATTCTTGAAACAATAATCCCTTAGCATTGATTTCACGGTGCAACAAACCAACCTCTTACCTTGTAGCGCGATATCTGCTGGTTTCCAGAAACCTTATTCTTCAGACACAACCTCACCCACTCGGCTTCAAGGTAGACAAATCAACAAACTACTGGCTCACCGACTATAATGACTGAAGCCGAATGATTGGACTACAGCCTATTGAGCATAATCAAATACTTTAAACCATACGGGTGCAACAACAAGCGATAGAAAGAAATCAGTTGATTTATACAAGCTCATAACCAGGATGTTGGGTGGCATATATTTGAATCCAACTCGATTCTCGCCCTTCGAAGAACGAACCTGAATGGCCGTCGAACTAGTCCAGTTGTAGCTGTTTGTTGTTTACATGTTTTTACCATCATGCGTTTGTCCCACAGCAGTACAGTTTCTGGATAGCAGCAGTTAATACATTTCCAGGGAGGAAGTGTTGTGGTTGATGACAATATGTAGTGAAAAGAACTTACATTATTTAGATGTTGATTGACTGGACTGCTAACTTCCAACTGGCGATAGCCCTATATTTATCATCAGGTACTATTTTCATGTAAAATAAATTTTGATAACTACTCATATGTATTAGTAGTATTACTAAATCCTATCACGACCAGGCAATAATGAAACTGAGAATATCTCCCCGTAACTAATCAAGCCATATCGAACTTAACAACTCAACTGGAACATTGGTTGGGATTCTTCTCCAGGATTATACTTTTGTTCTTTCAATCAGCCTACTAATGCAGATGTTATTGAAAATCAAATCATATGGGCAGCTCACCGGTATAAACGTTTTTTGAATTAACAAGTTAAACCAGAAGTAATACCAATATTAACATTTCTGCAATATTGATCCTTTTTATTTTATGCTCATGTGGTTCGGGTCCAATGCTACTACAGAATTAAAATAGATAACTGTAAATATACATATATCTAGATGCCTGCTAATTTCCTCTTGTAAGAAAACTAGTTAGTTAAGACAAGCTCATTATCATTCATGTGACTCATAAATCTTTCACAAAAGGAAGCGGGGTCTGAACATACAAATGAAGCTTTACGCATCATTAGTTGACCGGGTAAGGTTAGATTAGCCCCATAAACGAGTTGTGCAGTTGTGCATCAGCGAGCTTTTCAGTTGTTTATGAGGTCATTCCACTAGTCTTTTTCCTGCTGAGTGGTTCGCTGTTGTAGTGGTGTAATGAATGCCCAAAGAATGCCACTAGAATCTCGCACAAGATCACTCTTACAAAGCACTTGCTCAAATTTGGATGTACATCACCAAGGTAGATAATCTATGTCGAATAATTGGTGGCCTACTGGAGTTACACGGGAACGGTGTGATTAAAAGCTAACTTGAGAGTCACATCTCACGATCAGCACCTAACGTGAACTACCCCGTCCGTCTGCTTCAAAGACTATCTTACTGAAAGAATGTTATTGCGGAAATGTATCGGTAGAAGTAGGTGCAAGGGAGAAATTTTGACCACCACCACATGAGCCGGTCCATGGCGAATGATTAGTTGTTACGAATTCGTTGTCCTTGAGCTCGACAAGGATCTGTGAACTGTTCGACATTCAGTGACCCAACTGCCGAATGATTTGGCCAGGGCTCAGTAAAATTTCACTGGCCCTACAATAATCACACATTGGATTCGACGGTCATTTGGATCGGTACCAACACATGTTAAGATTAGTCGTGCACCAGAGGTTGCCGAATGATTAATATGAATCCTCCGGGTATTGCCAAGTTGTAGAGCAAATTGACAGGAGGCGAAAGAAACTGATCGAGAGATGGCGAACAATAATATGTTAATAAAGTGTTGGTTGAATGTACGGCGATTAACTATGGAAAAAATGGAAAAAGAAACACGACCTTTTTAAATTTCTGTCAAGTGGCGTTGGAATAGATAGCTTCGAGAATTGATCGAGTTCTTCAGATAAGAAACACAAAGTTCACCGCAGGAGCAACGACACTACAGTAGCAGTACGAAAGCGTATTATCAATCGACACCAATGTTTGTACTGCCGTTAGCTTAAAATAGAATTTCAGACGGTGTCGTTGACAGTTTACCGAATATTCAACAGACTAACTGTAAGTACAGAAGTATGACTGTGAAACGAAATCGTGGCTTCATTGTGCAAAGCTATTGAACAATTCGTAGTCACAGTTTAGAAAGTCGATGATTGCTGCTGCAACCAGTAAGGGTCATAGACTACAGATCGAGTGATAGTGACACGATAAAGTTGTCTCTACAGGATGATAAACTGTGAGTACTGCATATAAGTTCAATAACTGAACCGAGAAATATCAAAGAGAACATAAGAACCCAAAAATGTACCTCTGGACTCATGTCAATAATACCAGTGAAAAACGCTGTCAGTGTTGGTATAGAGGAGACAATGTCGTTTTTAGTTTGCGGAAGATTAGCTTGACCGCGTAAACTTATGATTCGCGCGGATGATAGTTTTCTGACCATCAGTTGGGCTGGACAGTTTTCACATGGTCGAGTATTCGAACAGCCGATTAGTGTAGCGAAATCACCTGTTAGATGACAACCACGAGAAAACAATAATTCACAAAATACAGTACGATGTAATAGTCGGGCAGTCACAGTGGTTTGAATGTGTCATAATGTCATAGAAAAAAAACACTGTACTTGTATACTCCAGGATCTACGCTGAACGTTCTTTTGTATATTACTGGTATTTTAGGGGCACAACTAGTAACAACACTAACACTACTGTCTAGTCAACGCGTTTTCCGACAAGGAAAATGACGCAAAACACTTATAGAATGTAACAAATTTTCTGTGGTACCAACATACGTGGTCGTTATATTTGCTTGTTCTTATGGTGTGCCGATTCTTACCCCTCCGAGAATTAGATCGGGAACCTTGAGATAAAAGATGGGAGATTAATAATTGCAATGCATGTAGCTTGCTTATAACGCTAGCAACCGTGCGTGTATGATATGTACGTTGGTGGCTTTATTAGGCTGTTAACGACGCCAAGGTGAGGGTTTGCATACTACTCAGAGTGTGATGTAATCTGTACATAAGGTATCGTACCACATGTTATCTCTAAAATCTTATCAGCCATGCCTGGTAGGTTCTCCAAACCCAAAGGTTGGCCGGAAGCGCAAAGAATTCGCCTTACTACATTTGGTAAGAATTGTAGCCAAATTTCCTCCAGAGAAGCATCATCAACTGTATAATGTTCATTCAACTTATTCATCTGGCATAATAATTGAAACCGTGACTTGTCATATAACTCGCATTCTTATAACAATTGTTGAATCCATTTTCACCTGATACCGTGGTACGCTGAATAAAGGCCTGGTTTAACTAATCATAGGCTTCCAACAGAGGAACATCATTTACAAAATCCGATGCCTTAAATACTATTTTGGTCGGCAGGATTCTATGCACGAAAAGGAATTTCGAAGCCCGTGAACATGCATTGCGACGATGAAACTGGACATCTACCTGTGAAAACCATGTACACGGGTCTCACCTACTGAATGTTGGCACATTTATGAGGTTCAGAGCGTGTAAGCCCGTTGAATTGCTACTTTGGTTAATATCTTCGGATTCGAATGAGTACATGATAAATAGGAAAAAAACAATCATTAACAAGAGGAAAAGAAAAGCCGAAATGTTTGTAAGGAAATGCAAGTGCTCATCAGATTAGTGATGTATCTCAGTAAAAGAACGCATTCAAAAAATAACAATGAACATAGTTCCAATGGTATACCGAAAAAGATCAACACTACAAACTGAAGTGTCTGTCTATGAGTAAAGTAAAACTGTAACAAATGGCGTTTAAAACAAAATGGCACATTAAGTGGTAAAATGATAATAATTGATATGAGATGAATGTTACTCGCAAGTTCTTTTTAAGAAAGCAACAATCAATAAGTTCATATGATTAACGAAGGTTATTCTGCAAGTGGTGATACCAACGGTGGGATAGGCTAAATCCGATAGTATGATTCAATAATGAACTACAAAGTAGTTTATAGTACCAAAAAACTGTTATAACACTGTTATAATCTTCGATACCAGGCTCTGGGCCAATAAAGTAGAAGAACAGACGACAGACAGAGCCTTTCTTTTCTTTAGTAAAAGTCATAGTGTATTAGTGTAACCAAAACTTTTTTAAAATCGCTAAGGAGAAACTATTGATATTGAATATATGTTTGATTACACATCCACTGTTAAAAATAAATAGAAATGTGGTCTTTATGTTATTGTTACAAAAATAATTGAATATACATTTAATTATACTTTCAACTATTTATCCACTAGAGTTTTTGGTGATTCCCAACAAGAAGAGCTTATAAACGGTATGTCGATACACTAGTTTAATAATAATATACCAAGAAAATTAATAGTAAAAACTCTAAGTGTCTGTCTGTTAGTAAAACCAAGGTAACAAAATATAGTTAGAAATACAAAGGATATATTAAACAAACAAATAACAATTATTATGGACTGAATGTTACTTGAAAGCTGCCTCGTGAGAATAACAACCACAAATAAGTTCACTCGATTAACGAAGGTTCCTCTGCAAGTAATTGCACCAACGGCATATTGAGAAAGATTGCGTCCAATAGTATTATAATATAATAATCCGTGCCAGAATTCCAACGTGGTGTCGGAAGGGCCAAAGAGATGTTATAACACCATTACAGTCTTCAATCAAAATCCGTTGTCAATAAAGCAGAAGAGCAAACGGTGTAGATAGCGGTTTATATTTTTAAACCACGTGGTAGTAAAATCGTATATTATTCATCGAAACAATTATCATCGTGATTAACAAGTAATACAGAAAAACAACAGATATTGAATAAAAATGTGGTTACATATAAAGTGTGACAAACTAGAGAGAAAATACGGTTTTTATTTTGTCTTCACAAAAATCATTGAATATACGTCACCATAAGTTTGTGGAGCTACGCGTTCAGAATATCCGTAAAGCCTGAAGCCATATATGTCTTCATCATCAAGTGAACTTTTAGGTGAAAAGTAGACAATTAAGCGTATATGTAGGTGCAAGGTAAACAATTCGGCGAACATTCAGGCGAAAAGTAGAAAATTCGGCCGATATTTAAGCGAAAATTGGAGAATTCAGCGGATACTTAGGTGAAAATTGGGCAATTCAGCGGATATTTGGGCGAAAAATCGATAATTTATCGACAAAGTGGCAAAAGGGGGAAATTCGCATTATTTACCCCCCGACAGGCGACATTCTGTCGCGTTCTCCCCTTTCTCTTCCAACGCATTTTCCCATTTATTTCCCTTATTCACCTTTATCTCCCCTATATTGGTTGCTTGGGTATTGTAACATATAAAGCGTGCCTAAAAATCATTAGTTTTTTGTGCTTGTGCATTAAGAAGATATTGGACACTAGCAATTTAAATGGCAGAGTCATTAAGTTTGCAGAGCTATATTGTGGTTTGATTATATTCAGATTCTAGATGTTAATAGAGTGTTGAAGTTGTTGGAAATACTTCAGAGATGCCCTGAAATACAGTCATCAAAGCTGGCAGCCTTACAACGCATACTACAGTCGGACTTTTGTGACATGATTCGTGAAGTTTATGAGCATATATATACAACTGTTGATATTAATGGGTCAGAAGAAGTTAGTATTGTTTTGTTGTATTATGGGTTTCACTGAAATATAATGTTCAAAGCCTCAATTATAACTCAATTTTGCCGTTTATGCCACTGAATAATCCATTCATGTAAACTACTAGCGGAAACTGGTGACGTTTTTACTTGATTCATTCAAAAAGGGATAGATGCTTTTGAAGGCCTACTAGAAACCTACCGTTAAATGTTCCTGGCCTTCTGTTCTCAAGGCCCAAGTTAAAGTCCACAGAGATTAGGAAATGAGTTTGAACTAATCAAGGTCAGTCAGTCAGTCAGTAAGTCAGTGACAACGTAGAACTTCGTACGTACGTAAGTACATCAGTTCGAGTTGCCACACCACATTAGCACAGAGATGCAGTTGTCGATTCAAATCCCGTAGTGGTAGAGGTAATAAGAGTATAAGCAGTAATCGGGAAGATTAGGGTTTGGAGATGTTATTTAAAGAGTATAATCCGGTGAAATAAATTTGGGAAGAGGAAAAAAGGGACATGAAGAACTCAGAAGATTAGAATTTCGGAGGAAACAGAGAGTGGATGCACCTGCGTCACTGCAAACGATTTTGAGCCATGTCATTCAGGGTCTCTAACCATCGGTTGCTATCATCTCGTGGTCCACAACCAGGTAGTCTACACCTACCAACATGACTCAGTCCACTTGTCAGTGACTTCATGGAATTGTGCCATATTTTGATCTGGCCGCCTCTAGCTTTCTTCCAACCTACTCCTATACCACTGAACATAGCACGTCGAGGTAGTCGGTCGTTGAGCATACGTAACACGTGTCCCAGCCATCTCAACTGATCAAGTTTCACTACTTCATCAATTGATTTACCACCCTTACCTAGTACCCGTTTCCTAACAACTGCATTACTTACTCGATGGTCCCATGATATACAAGCAATGTTTCGAAGACACCTATGATCAAATACTAGTAACCTACGGATATCCTCTACTCTTACCGGCCATGTTTCACTGCCATATAGTAGGACGGAACGAACTGCTGCACAGCAAACACGTCCTTTGGTTGGTAGACGGATATCTCGCCTACGCCATAAATGACGCAAGTTGGTAAAAGCTAGTCGAGCCTTCTGTATCCGTGCTGAGATTTCGTCACACACCAGACCACAAGTGCTGATGAGACTTCCAAGATAAGTGAAGCGGTCGACACACTCAACTACTTCACTCCCTATCACTAGTTCGGGTGTCGATGTAACCCAATCCTGAAGCAACATTTTGCATTTCGAGGGAGAGGATCGCATCCCGAACATGCTTGCATTGTAGCTTAGAGTGGTCAGAAGACTCTGCATTTTGTCAGCGTCTTCACTAAATAAAACTATGTCATCAGCATATTCTAAGTCAACAAGTGAACCTCCCGGTAGAAGTTCAACCCCTGGAAATTTAGATGAGGAGAGTGTTATCTCTAAAAGTACGTCGACCACAAAGTTGAACAAGAATGGGGAGAGTGGACAGCCCTGACGAACACCACTTGAGGTAATCAATTCTGATGACAGTTCCCCATAAGCTCTCACTCTACCAGTTGTGTTCGAGTAGAGCCTTTATAAGGTTAATGTACTTCATTGGTACTCCTTTCAGTGACAAACACTGCCATAGAACCTCACGATCAACAAAGTCCAATGCCGCCTTAAGGTCGAGAAATACTACCATTGTGGGGCGTCTGAATGTGTGTCTGTGTTCTAGAACCTGACGTAGTGTGAATATCTGATCGATACAACCACGTCCAGGTCGAAAACCGGCCTGGTTTTCTCTAATCTGCTCTTCACGAGCTTTGATTAGGCGTCGAAGTATTTTTGAAGCTAATATTTTAGACACTATATTAGTCAAACTGATTCCTCTGTGATTGTCACAAGAGGACTTTTGTCCTTTCTTATTGACTGGCACAATCAGTGATTAAGACCAGTCAGATGTGATTACGTCCAGTTCCCATATTCTACCTAAGACCTCAGTTAATCTCATTGCTAATACTAGACCACCATCCCTAAATATCTCAGGAGTAAACCTGTCAGGACCTGCTGCTCTCTCTCGTTTCAGATTTCCTATGGCTTTTTCAACTTCGTAAAGGGACGGAGGACCTACATTAACTTGCCATTCAGGTTGACTAGAGATCGTGGGAAACCGAAGTGTGGCTGAAGGCCAGTTGAACTGATCCCTAAAGTGTTCTGCCCATCGATCCAATCTCCTGGATTGAGAATGAATAATATGTCCATTTTTCTCTGAGATTGTTTCGCTAACGGTCGGGTTCCTAATTCCGGTTTCCTTAACGAGTCTGAACAATTGTCTGCTATTACCTATTGCCGCTGCCTTTTCCATCTCTCTTGCTTTCGCTACCCACCACTGTTCGCGATCATTGCGTAGACTTCTTGTCAGCTTGCGCTTAAGCTGACTCCGCTCTTCATTATGTTCAGAGCCAGGTGGAATGAGTTTCCGAGCATCTATCAGTGAGATAGATGCTGCTGAGATCCAGTGTTGCTCCCTTACCTTCTGGTTTACCTTACTAGCAGATATCACTGCTGTTTCCACACCTTTTCGGATATCATTCCATGCTGCCTCGGGGTGGGCATCACATACATGGCTGCCTAACTGTTTTCCTAGTTGTTCCTGAAATATACTCTTAGCTGGACTATCATTAAGTAGGGCCCTGAGAGGTTTCCTTGCAGCGTCTTTCCTACGTCCAGTAAGACGCAGACAAATACGCGCTCGTACTAGAGCATGATCTGAATCTAAGCATGTGCTCCAGAATGAGCGACAGTCTTCTATCGAGTCCCTCCATCGGTGGCTGATAGCGATGTGATCTATTTGGGTCCAACGTGGGGACGAATTAGGGGGTCTCCATGTTAAAAGATGTTTTTCCTTATGCTTAAAGTTAGTATTTGCAGGGAACAGGCGGTTATCTGAGCATAGCTGCAACAGACGGTCGCCATTATCTGTTCTTTGAGCCACGACACTATAAGATCCACCTAGGTGTCTTTCCCTATTGCTTAGTTTACCTACTTGAGCATTAAAGTCACCGGCCACTATTACTAAATCTGAGCGCTTAGCTTTTCGGAGAAGGTCGGAAAGCTCTCTGTAAAACTCATCTTTTACATCATCTGAGCTGCAGTCAGTGGGAGAATAGACAGTGACGACGAAGAGGCAACGACGAGTGTCCCTATCTTTCCGGATTCTTACTGTTCCGTTCAGTCGGACAGCGCACAAACGACTGTCTACTGGGATCCACTCTAAGAGAGCTAGTTCTGCCCTAGGACTCAATGCTATACCTACGCCGGCGAGGCCACGGGATGCAGAATCAGGGCTTCCAGATACAAGAAGTGTGAATCGAGTTGGTTTTTTATTTTGGCATGGTGAGGTCAAATGAATAATGCTACTCAGATCCTGTATGCGCGTTTCGGAGACGCAGCACACATCGATGGCACGAGATTCTAAAGTCCTAGCTAAGGAAGCCTGTTGTCCTATTTGGCATAGTGTTCGTACGTTAAAACCTCTACATGTAGTTTAGAGCGTGGTTTCAGGAGACCAGGAATAACGTTCCGCGTACTCGAATCGTTTGCCCTAGCGGTGCGAGGTGAAAAAAATACATGAGGAGGGTTAGTCGGGGAGATAAGAGAGGTATTAGGAGGTGTAGGAAGGATTTGAATGTGATCAACTTGATCTGGTGTGCTGTTACGGGTATAAGGACTGATGTCACTTTCCGGCTGCCCACACCGTGGAAGGGTATTTCTTGAGGAACCTGAAAAGGAAATTGGATTAGTGTTGGTCTTGATGACCTGGGAGCGTGACCGCAAAGCCCAAGGGACAACTGCTTGAGGCCGGTCGCGCACGGCCTTTTCGTGGAAGGTTTTTGACGTGTTAGCTACGTTCTTCAAAGGGCCTTACCGCCGGAGACGGAAATCCGTGAGGTAAGGTGAGAAGTGACATTTTTAGGGTCGACCTTTTCTAACCCCACCCCTCCTTGTGGGAAGGCAGCATCATTGTCATGCTGGTTGTCCGAGGGAAATACCTTACTGCTGTCACACCTCTCTACAGTCAGCAGTACGACTTCGCCCTCAGACCTTGAGTTGCTGCTTTTAGTCTTACCGTTCTCCAGTCGACGTTCCTGGCATGGTAGAATCTACAGGAACATATGTTCCAGCCAATATAGCTCGGTTGGGTCATCACGATAGTCAAGGCCGACCACCGCGTCAAGGTAGCAGCTTCGGTCGGGAATAATCAAGGTGAAATAGTATAGTGTACCCTTAAATCATGAGATTAAAATTGCCTCGTATCTTTCTTTCCACTAAATAATGTTTCCTGTAATTGCGTGCAATCTTTTTATTTATAATAATATCATTGAAGTAACTGCTTCTACGAATTTGGTGTTCATCTTGTGCTAATGAGGTATGGCAACCTGGACCAATGCATAAATGTGCCTGGTCACTGGATGGCTAACTGCTATTTAACTGTGGTTTAATGAATTTCGCGTCGAATTCCAGAAATTGTTATCCTTAATTTGATTGTTCAACGAAACTTATGGTACAGTTAGCCTCTTTCTACTTTGTGGACGTGAAACATGCCCATTAGAAATAGGGGATATTTGTTGGTTACTGGTATTCGATTGTAGGTGTCTTCAGAACATTGCTCACGTGTTTTAAGACCACGGAGTAGGCAATGTCAAGGTTAGTAATAGGGTACTAGGTAAGGATGGGAAATTCATTAGAGGTAATAATTCTTCAACGGAGGTAGTTGGGACGTGTGTTTGGTTCGCCAACCCAGCACATTCCTCAACAGTATTTTATGGTATAGGGCTAGACTAGAAGAAAGCTATGTGCCAAATGCCCTGGTGTGACCAAATATGGTGAGAGTCCGCTCTCCCTCTCGAACTCATCTCGCAGGGTTATGGGTATATACCCACTGATAGGAAAGTCCTACTCACTGCCTTCTCGTGGCGGGAATGTTGTTCAAGAAATTCGGGAAGAGAAGCGAATGTTTGGCGCTCTAACCGGGTTGGTGGATGCGGAGGGTACACCCAGGGGAGTTGCTAAACCCTGACTTCACACTAATAGCGCAGGCGAATCCCTTTTTTATTTCCCCCAAGTTATTATTTTCTGAATTCTTCCTAGATTTTTATTTCATTAATTTGTATTCTCAAATGATATCTTCGATGCTTAGTCTTTCGGATTATCAGTGATACTGTTTCTACCTCTACTATTCTATGATATGACCTTACAGCTTCATGTTGGTGTGCTAATGAGATATGGTAATGTGAACCGATTTACATACATACTAGGTTCTAAGTAGTAACTGACCGACTTTTATTCTTCATTTTATTTAAACTCTTATTAGGTGTTAGCAAGTGCAACAGCCAAAGCTACAGTTGCAGCTTTTGCTGCAAGTGAAGGACACGCTCATCCACGTGTCATAGAACTACCAAAAACTAATGAAGGTCTAGGTTTCAATGTTATGGGTGGTAAAGAACAAAATTCACCTATTTACATAAGTCGAATTATTCCTGGTGGTGTTGCAGATCGTCATGGTGGTTTAAAACGTGGTGATCAATTGCTATCAGTAAATGGGATTTCTGTGGAGAGTGAACATCATGAAAGAGCTGTTGAACTTTTGAAATTAGCACAGGGTGATGTACCGTGGATTTTAAGATGTTTTTTCCCTATCAATACTTGTGATATTTCATTATTACAGAGTTTCATGTTAATATCCTTATTATCACCTTCTCACAATGCTAGAATACTCGTCTGTATATGCTTGTTCTAATCCACATTATGCGTAGTTTTAGTATATGCCTAATGACTTGTTATACATTGTTTTTCCAGTTTAAATCATATCAAACAAATTGCAATAATAATCTTCTTTCCATTATAGGTACTGTGAAACTTGTAGTAAGATATACACCACGTATTCTTGAAGAGATGGAAGCACGTTTTGACAAGCAAAAAGCTCGACGTCGGCAACTTAGTTAATACAAATTTGGAGGTGTGTATGCATAATGCGGTGATGTATCACTCACTAAATTATTTAGACTAACACTGCAGGTTGAGTTGTCTAATAACTTTCTTCAAATAGTTTGTTTTTTCAACTCTGTCTTTCTATTCTAACTTGTTACATTCTCATTAGGATCTGTATATAATTTGTTGTTTATATTAGTTTTTGATCATTTTGTTGATTTTCAATTTTTCATTATACTCTATTTTAACATGCTGTAGTCATTTAGACAAAATATTTAATTCTTACGTAACAATGATTTCCATGACTTTAAAATAGAATATTTGTCAAACTATAATTCAGTCATTAATCATTTATTTATTTGTAAAATTACAACTTAAGTTATTGAAGTAGGCTTGTAAGCATGATCACTTGGTTTTTGATGACTTATGTTGACTGGTTATTGCTTCTAAATGTCTCTTATTAAAATGTAATTATGCAAATTTCATGGATTATGCTGAGACATGTTCATGTATGATATATGATCACTTCAGCTGTGAGAAACTAACAATGGTAGAAATTCCACTGAATATAAGTTTGTAGTCTAACGACTATTGTCTGTGGAAGCAAGTACTAGATTTGAGACAATGGATGTAATGAGATACGAATGATCCAATAAACGTTAAAATGGGAATGTACGTAGTTGAGTTATCGTTCTAGGTAAGGACACGTTATATAAGCGTACAAATAGTGGAAATTAACAAAATAAGACTACATTCGAGGCGAAGGAAATGAGATCAAATAACACCTAACTCTAAATTTAAATTACAATAGAGAATAAATGCAACTATAAATTTATAGCATTTGAGCTCTTGGTGGTCTTGGAAAATGAAAAGGTGCCTTGGAGTCTAGATAGGCCTCCGGGAAATCAGAATTGTTTATTATTGGCTATCAAGTCGCAGATTAGTTAAATATTTAAGGTTGTATATGATTTCGTCGAATATGTTTTTCCTTGAGCAGCGAACGTAATTGGTGAAATGTCAACTAATATTGAGTTTTAAGGCATTAAACGTTTGAATTTACTTATTGTAAATGATCTTTGATTTAGATGTTTACAATACATACGACCGATAAGCCCCCTAAACAAAACTGATTGACGTCACGGCACATTATCTGTGCATTGCAACACCCATTCACAAGTAAAAGTGCTTTTTCCCGATACACACAAACTATTCGGCTTTGACTGTTGATTGTAAGGTTCTATGGCAGTGTTTGTCACTGAAAGGAGTGCCAATGAAGTACATTAACCTTATAAAGGCTCTACTCGAACACAACTGGTAGAGTGAGAGCTTATGGGGAACTGTCATCAGAATTGATTACCTCAAGTGGTGTTCGTCAGGGCTGTCCACTCTCCCCATTCTTGTTCAACTTTGTGGTCGACGTACTTTTAGAGATAACACTCTCCTCATCTAAATTTCCAGGGGTTGAACTTCTACCGGGAGGTTCACTTGTTGACTTAGAATATGCTGATGACATAGTTTTATTTAGTGAAGACGCTGACAAAATGCAGAGTCTTCTGACCACTCTAAGCTACAATGCAAGCATGTTCGGGATGCGATCCTCTCCCTCGAAATGCAAAATGTTGCTTCAGGATTGGGTTACATCGACACCCGAACTAGTGATAGGGAGTGAAGTAGTTGAGTGTGTCGACCGCTTCACTTATCTTGGAAGTCTCATCAGCACTTGTGGTCTGGTGTGTGACGAAATCTCAGCACGGATACAGAAGGCTCGACTAGCTTTTACCAACTTGCGTCATTTATGGCGTAGGCGAGATATCCGTCTACCAACCAAAGGACGTGTTTGCTGTGCAGCAGTTCGTTCCGTCCTACTATGCCCAACTACCGACTACCTCGACGTGCTATGATTTACGGTGTAGGTTGGAGGAAAGTTAGGGGAGGCCAGACCAAAACATGGCACTAGTCTATGAAGTCACTGACAAGTGGACTGAGTCATGTTGGTTTTACCGGAAGTACACATACCAGATATCCCATTGAGACCAATTTCTGACATGTGCGAATCCTCCCATCATACCTTAACAAAGTATTTAGTAACCATTTTAAGACCACTCTACAAACACCAAGTGAAGCATAGTGTTAAGGATGTACTCCAGTCAGTTGACAAGGTCAAAAACATACACACTAAAGGTCAAATGATGATGTCCTTTGATGTAATGTCATTGTTAAATGTGGTAAAATTGGACACAAAGGCAGGGTGTAGTACTACTGTTCATTTCGCCGCAAGTAATGCCAAACTTTGTCATTCCGACACTATTAAGTTGAGTGATTTTAATGATCATTTATCTTTGTCCACGATTTCGAAAAGCAGTATCGAGTCTTGTAGCATTCCAGAATTAAATGACATTCATAATCATTGTGAGATCAAGTATTCTAGTCAATCAACTTAACAAATTTCTGATGTAGTTGTACGAGATATCGTTTATACTAATGAGTCACATACTTCCGATGAAATTCCTTATACGTCTGAGGGAAATATGTTAAGTGAATTAAATGGTGATCGGAAATTTGATGCAGTTTTGAAGAATGTTGATTTTTTTAATGATCCGTTATTCTCCAATAATAATCTTAAGTATGGGACTGGGATGACTGTTTAGGCTTTGATGTTTGTGCAAATTAATAGTTTTTTTACTTGATCGCTCACTTATAACGAATTCTTAATATAACACGTCCAGTTGTACACCTCTGGTTCTACGTGCCTCAAATCACAATTTTTCGAGAATTCTTACCGAATGCACTAATTCTTTAGTTCTTTAGGTACATAGTGTATCTGACAGACTGTGTATTGGATGTAAGCATTGTATCATCTGGAATGTACTCATTAGTATGATAGCTTTTATGGAATCTTTTTCGTTACAGAATGTTTAGCATTTCTATGTTGCAGTAGAAATGTATCTACTCCCTTCTCCAGTTCAATAAATGTTGAAGTAGATATAGATTCAATAGCAGTTTTTAATACTGTGACAGAATTTTCTGCCTGACCATTAGAACAAAGGTGTTTGGATGCAGTGAATAGATTTCTACACTTAATACTGTTCAACCAGGTAGTAAATGCATCTGCAGCTAAATGAGGACCATTATCAGTTACAAGTACCACGGTGACCTTTTCTTAACGGAAAACGTTTCTTGGTGCTTGAATTTCAAAGTCAGAATATGGTGACGTTGTGAAAAAGCTTCAGGTTACTTAGAAAGAAAATCAATGACTACAGGTGCATAGTATTGTCAAGAAATAGATCACAATGTTCTACATAAAGTATCTGTTAGGCCTCAGATGATACTGGTCATTGAGTCAACTTCAAAGGATGATTTTCTCAATTATAACATTCCTCACTATTATTTTCTGTATGACATATATCTGCATTTACCTCCGATCAACACTCAAATATGGAATATGAATATCTTCAAGCAAAGGACTGCGTATTCAAGGAAGGATAACAACACGATCGTTTAAACACAAAATACCACGACGAGTAGTGGTTAACTCAGGAGATTTACATTTCAGTTTAGCATTCCATCATTTTCGTATGGCAATGAATATACATTCCAAGTATCAACGAGTTGTTTTATAGAGATCTATATGACACATCGGTAGACGTTGTACTGGTAAACAATCTGCAGTTTTGACAGGCTTTTTGAGGGTTTTTGAGATATACGATTGACATGTTGGATTTGTTTGGCACCTTGGTGGATTGCATGATCATAATCAATCAGAACAATACTTCATCGTTAATCTGTAGTAGCTCGAAAACGTGCTCAGAATTTTTTAGGATGATAAGTGAACTTCAAGGTTGTATAATCTGTAACAGTGATGGATTTGATTATATATAAATATTTATGTAGGCGTTCAACAACGTTAGTCAACTTCGTAGGCATGACGCATGTTCACCAACCCATTTATATGAATCGGATGCCAAAATGTGAAATGAACGACAAGCAAAAATTAGAAACAAAACAGCAAAGATATTAAAGAGCACCTACTCGTTAACTTAGTTTTATAAGACTTTTTGGAGAATGCATTTGTCAGTGAAGCTAATTGTTTCATATCTGGTTTAGAACCGTTAATGTCACTAAGCGTACCAAGACATTCGAAACTTGACACACAAAATGAACACCGACTTGTATTTTCTGTAATATTTTTCTGTGATTGCCAGTGCAGTAAAGCAATAAGTCTCTGGTGATGCGCTGGTATATCAGAACTATGAATGGTATGATCATTCTGATAAATCTCAACAATTTTACGTTCGCTGGCTACATTATTCATGACTTCCTGAAATATAGCTGGAGAATAAGTTGAACCAAATGGAAGAAGGTTGTATTTAAGTAGACCAAAGTAGTGTTAATTGCTGTGAAAACAGATGAAGGTTAATGTTGGGGAATCTACTGCGACATGTAGATTGAGTGATTCTCTAACGACCAAATAAAGACAACCATTTCTCCATTTGTCACACTTCATTTATATCCATATTTATAATTTATATCTAATGTTTCTCTGCATCAACGGTAAAGAAACCGATGAAATTGTTTGCTTATGTACACATACATTATCGCAATTATTGAAAAATAAAATTGTAACAGTAGGAAAACTCATTACATGTGACATTACTAACACGAGTCTGTTTTCCTTATTGCAATACAACAAAGAGTAAGCGCACTGGAAGGAGAGGATCAAGCCCTACGGAAGCTGAACCTGCAGAACGATAGATAAAACTATTTTGTAATAAGTTTTCCCTTTTTGTAATATGACCGCGTCCATCAATTTTAAAATATATCTCTGTTGTGCCAGTACGCCGTGTTCTCACTTCAGAGGCAGTTACCAGTTCTGACTGTTGTGTTGTTGTTTCAGATCGTTCCTGCTTCCGAATAAACACTAGTACAACGTGCTGCACTATAAATATACTACAAGAACTGTAAACGCAATAATGGCGATCACAGACCCAATGTGGAACTCTAGTACGAATAAGGGC